TGTGGTCTAGTATTCATTGATATTGTGTCTGCAACTCTCTCTGTTGGACAGTAAATATGTTGCAGTAACCAGGTATGGAGCGATGTCAGACTATTACACAATTATGCACTAGTTAATATGAATATCTTGATGACAAACTAGTTCGACAACCCGCGACTAGTTAATGTCGCTATACCTAAATTACTTTCTTGGTAGAAAATATAAGGGAGGTTTAACTTAATTGTACATATCTTTACTAGTACAATCTGTATATGGTAACCTGCTGATGCACACGGTACATAGCATGGCGTGACAACTAACCAGTGTGTTTATTGACGTATTGTCATAACGACCGCGTAAACAATTCCTGGAAAGTAGTTAGTTTTACTTTCGCGTTAAAGGACAATATTGGTGCCAGTCATTATCACGTGATAGAACTGGTTAAACACGTTCCAAATATTATTTCATTGCAGAGATCATCGCTACGATAGATGCGTAATCAATGCTTCAACAATCGGAAGTAACGAACGCAAAAGGAAACCACGAGTTATCCCTCTATATAACTGACTGAAGTGACGAGTGATAACAGATACATGGGCGAATTTCTGCTCACACATGTGATAATGACTGGCATCAATATTGTCCTTTAAACGGGCTGGTTCAATCGGTGAATGAATGTTAGGCGAGTTGGGTCCCCCTATAACGCGCCTGATTAGGGTAAGCACGCCCAGTAATAACTGGCTTAATTATCCTCCATTGACAGTATATAATTTTATTTTCTTATCTTTAAGCCCCAATTTATTAAATGGCTTAATAATCCTATATTGGCAGTATATAATCGTATTTCTTCATATTAAAGTAGCCTAATCTTATTTGTTTTAAAGTCACATTTTTATACACAGGATCCTGTTCGTACCTTACTGTTTGAATGCTTCATCTGTAAAATTAACCCAGCATTAATATCATAGATAATGTATTGGACGCTTAAAGCTAAATATATCCCATGTAGGATAATACTACAGATGTAGACATGAATAACCAGACGACAAAGACTGCCGTTCGCGTATTGCGCCTACCATAAATGATTAGAAATTACAGTATAAACAGAAACGATAGAATGTAAATCAGTTTATATACATTCATATTACATTATTATTTGCGTTGTGACCCTTTGTGTCCATTTCTAGGTGCTAAAGGATAGAGATTTAGCTCCTTTAAATTGTTATAAACATATGTTCACTCCACTACTGGTTACGTCACTGGCTGTTTTTATGTTGTTGTTGTTAATGTTGTTGTTGTTGTTTAGGTGTCCATTTTACCAACGACTATTGTTGTTTTTTTTAATCCGTATAGAAAGAGAACGAATCATGAGAATATTGGTTTCTTCACATCGCCAATGTACGACTTTTGCTAGAATTTTTGCTCTTGAAATTAATGATGGCATTATATTGTATTAATTAATAACTTTGGCAAGTTATTAGATTCACATATGTAATATGGCCCAATTAACCAATCTCTCTAATTATTTACATCATATTTGACCAATTAGATAATTGAAGGTCCAAAACCCAAAGCTACAAAACTATCATACTTGTGAGAATTGGACGACAGCAGCTTGATTCCAGAAGGGAAAAGATGTAGCAATTTCTATCAGCAGACTCGCGCAGCGAGCCTGGCTGGCTAGTGTTTGAGAATGAGTTTATTATTGTAATCTATATTATGCTTGTATCTATGTATCCAGCTATGATATATAAAATAAAATGTAAAAACGAACTGTTGCATTGTTATAACTACTGAGAAGACAAACGTCTTAAGAAAACAGTAAGAAGTAAATACACAACGTAAAGGGGAAGCAAAGACAACCAGAGACAAAGGCTACTAAAATATGTAGTAAGAAAAGATGCATGGGTCATCAGTAGGATGTGGCGACCAGAAGCAATGGGCCACTCTCCACGTCTGACAGAAGGCCCATGGTACTACACCAGTGATACGTCGTTACTAGCCCAGTTTGAGTAGATCTTTAACCAGCCATTGGCCATCACATTTGGCCTGCATTTTATGCAAGTGTTCTGACAGATTATTTTCACAATAATGAGGTAGTATTGGGTTAGTACTGGGATGGTATTGGGTGGTATTGGGCGAGTATTGGGTTAGTACTGGGGTGGTATTGGGTTAGTATTGGGGTGGTATTGGGTAAGTATTGGGTATTGGGTTGGTATTTGGTAGTTTTGGGTGAGTATTCGGTTGATATTGGAAGAGTTTTAGGTTGGTATATGGTAGTATTGAGTGGTATAGGGTTAGTATTCGGTAGTATTGTGTTCCAAGTTCCTGAAGACATTACGTGATGATGGACAATAGAAGCAAATAAGACCATTCTTCAGCTTTGAAATGAATTGAAAGGAAATGGGATATCAAATTCCGATTTTTCTGCTCCACCAGGGCTAATGAAGATGGACATACGCCAAGCACTGTACATTTGATTTAACGTTTGCCAGGTCAGCGGAGCAACAGCCTAACGCTCGCGGATATAATTCCAACTGTCAAGGGTTCTTTTACGTACACATCGACGTCTATAGGGCCTATATGGGTTTTCATCGCATGTGAACGGCTAGACGTTGTTTCTTGCCTGGTCCCTCGTTCTGTACCACCTACAAAGGGCAATCACATTGCCAAACCCCGAGGAACTTTCTTTCCCGGCCAACATCCAGATCTAATCCGGATCTTCTAGATCCACTGAATAGCGAGCAGTGTTTACGCTAGTTGTAAACATCTTAATCTCTATCATTCAGATAAATGTTCTACTAATATTAGTCTGGATGTGTTGTCAACATTTGAGAATAATAGGTCATTGGCTAGATTATCCGGTCTTTAACATTATCATGAACAAAGTCTAAGGGAGGTAACTAGCCCTAAAACTAGTGTCAACGCCCTTGAAATTAATTTAAGAATTGCCATTTCAGAAAGTGCATATCTATGTTTTTTAATTAATCCTAATTCGTCGTCACGATTCGTGTTTGTTTATAATACTGCATGAATTATGGGATTTATTTCGGGAATGGGCGCAACTCTTACTTGACGTGCCGAAAATACCGGATACACAACCACATAAAAAAAACAACCTCTCTGTTATGCATGGGCAATGGAACTTTTCGTCAAATGTTGACAACAGACCCAGACCCTCCGTTCTGGGTGACCGATACTATAACATCTACGTTGTACCGACTGTTGTACCGGTTCAATCTGTGACTAACTGATGTAAACTATTTGGTTTTATCATCCCACATTGGTTCAATGTGGGATTACAAAAAAATAAATAAGATAGATTGCCAGGCAACGAAACATACGCCCACAGCAGCTAAATCGTCCGGGTGGTCGACAAGGGTTGTCGCATATTTATTCCTTTGTAGGTAATTGGAAGCCTTTACAAGACAGTTCCATACGACAGTTCCATGTCGTTTGAGGGTTCACAGGGGTCTACAAACTGAAACAAGGTCCTCAACTGTGGAAGTAGTTTACGGAAAATGTTGAAATTTGACAGGCTTTTTCGTGTTACCAATTTAAATAATGAATATAAATTTCATACAGATCGGATGATCACTTTTGTCATTCAAATGTTCACAAGATTCACAAAGTAAAACAAGGGCCATAACTCTAGAAATTACTGACGGAAATTGCTGAAATTCAATAGACCTCTATTTCACAAACATTGCCGTAGACCTTACTGTGGACCGATCCTCACTCCTCGCCATCGACGTGAACGTCTACAGTTTGCCCAACAACACCAGAACTGGCGACACAGGCAATCGAGAACTGTTCTGTTCACAGATAAGAGTCGGTATTGCGTATCAATTGCAGGACCTGAATATGGCGTCGACGTGGCCAGCGTTATTCTGACAAATGTGTCATGGAACGAGACTCATGAGGAGGTCCGAGCATAATGGTTTGTGGTGGAATCGGGTCCTGTGGTGTTCCAAAATATTGGTCCAGGGAGAGGAGGCGGCATCACAGCAGTGCGCTACACCGATCAAGCTCTCAGACCCCACGTCATACAACATTTCGCACGTCATCGAAACAACGTTTTCCAGCATGACAACGCCCGTGTCCACACCACCAGAGTTACTCGGGACTTTCTACAGCAGAACGGTGTCAACGTTATGCACTGACCAGCCCTTAGTCCGGACACGCCAGATGCTGATGTATAGACTGTGTACAGACTCTAAACCTTCTCGTAATGTCTTGGAATTGTGATGAATTAATCACTAATGTGTCAACATACTGTTAACAAAAAGTTGCTTTGATCCATTTAGTAAGTCGTTTTCTAGAATGATTTAAAGTGCCTCTCACATTTTGAAATCGTACGATCTCTATTTACAGATTTACTGGAAACCGGACAAAAATTGAAGTAGTCAAGAAACTTTCAAGTTTGTTTTGTATCTTCATAATCATAAATGAATGATTTTAGATTTCTTTATGCTGTTATTATTTTTTTCAATTTTTAAGCAAGGGGTTCTATTTTATTTATTAATTTTAGTCTCCATTATTCCAGCACAAATTGTGTCTAGGTGTCGCGATGGCTCAAATTGTGTCTGGGAGTGGCGATGGCACAAATTGTGTCTGGGAGTGGCGATGGCACAAATTGTGTCTGGGAGTGGCGATGGCACAAATTGTGCCTGGGTGTGTCGATGGCACAAAATGTGCCTGGGTGTGTGTATGGCTCAAATTGTGTCTGGGAGTCGCGATGGCAAAAATTGTGTCTTGAAGTGGTGATGGCATAAATTGTGTCTGGGAGTGGCGATGGCATAAATTCGGTCTGAGAGTCGCGATAACATAACGTGTATCTGGGAGTCGCGATGGCACAAATTGTGTCTGGGTGTGGCGATGGCTTAGTGAGTATAAGACGCTAAACTGGAGGACCCTCGGGATTTTCAGCCTTGTCAGTGTTGCATTATCCCGGTCAGTACAGAAACGTTAGACATAAAGGGGCCACGGTGACACAGCTTGCGTGCACGTCTATGAACCCTTAAAGTACTTAAGATACAACATTTCCGTCATAGCGCACTGCATATTTAGACTGTAACATTATCTGTATTAATTAAAACAGTGATAGCGACACATCTAAAATATCAGACGTCTTCAAGTCAAACTGGGAAAATGGCTTCACAAAACATCTCAACTATTTGTTTCATTTTATTAGTTATTTCAAATATCCAGGACCAGAATCCAAACGGTAGACGCATGAGAGATCCTTATGTACGACGTCTTGTCCAAACAGTTGATGACGGATTAACCCAGCAACCCAATCTTGAGACCCTGGAAGATCAATATCAGGGGGCTGGAAATGTAAATACCGACCTAGGGAACACAGATTACCAACGTAAGTTTTGTTTTATATTATATTACTTTTTTTGTTTCGTCTGATTTACTCAAAATCCCCTAGGATATCTACCGGGATATAGATTAACATACATGCGTTATCTTGGTACTCTTAGATCTCTGAGTTGCATCTGATACAAAGAACCTACTTGACTCACTAAGGTGTGCTATTGGTTTAAGTGGTTATGTTTTTAATTGGTTGAAGCCCTATCTAACCAAACGCAGCCATTTCGAATACTGTATTGAATTATCTTTCAAGGGAGTCCTATTTACACAAAAACCACCGCCCTCAAAAACGTAAACGAAGCTTAAACCACACACCCCAACTTAAACGACAAACCAAAATAACACCACACATCCCAACATGGCCACCAGGACTAAATAACACTACACACGCCAACATGCCCGACAAACCAAAATCACACCACACACCCCAACATGGCCACCAAACCAAAATCACACCGCACACGCCAACTTGACCACCAAACCAAAATCACACCACACAGATTACTGTATTTTTTTACGTAACCTACCGTAATAACGAGAGAACGTGTTGTCGGAAATCTGCGTAACGCTACAGGAATATCGAGAGAACGACTGGAAATCTGCGTAATGCTACAGGAACATCGAGAGAACGTGTTGTCGGAAATCTCCGTAACGCTACAGGAATATTGAGAGAACGTATTGTCGGATATCTATATAACGTTACAGGAATATCGAGAGAACGCGTTGTCGGATATCTATATAACGTTACAGGAATATCGAGAGAACGTGTTGTCAGAAATCTACACGTGTGGTATAGGCCTTTGATCATGTTGTTGCTATGTATGGTTTCGGTTATGTTGTTGTATTTTGTCTATATATATTTGCCTCATACCTGTTTTACTGTATTAGCTTGATAACGTTGAGAGAATACTCTACGAAACGTCGCCTTAAATACACTAGTAGCTGTTTTCCATAAGTATGTGTTTTGTTGTTACTCTATCCAGTTACCAAATGCCATTTAAAGCACTAATCATAGTATTAGTATAATAACAGACCAGAAGGAAACTTAACTAAACATATACAAAGTAATTACATTTAATAGCATATAATTATAAAGGGAAACCACATATTCATTGAATTTATAGATGAGAGCCAATAAGGACAGGGAAACACTAGCTATATTCAATAATGTCATAGTTTAAATAAATCAATTTAAAAACATATAAACATAGAAGGCATACTAGGCGACTATTGTGATTAAAAGTTGATCAATACAGTTATTATGTCACTTGCTGTCCTATTGTTCAGTTCAGTTGAAGAATTTGTGTTATATTATGCTTTGTATCTGTCTTTATAGCTACAGGAATGTTAAGAAAAATATTGATAAGGGTCTATTGTAGCAGTTGTAGGACCAATCATTGTAGACGGCGATATTGTGTGAAGTCAAATAGGGTTGAACGTCCTACTGTGTGAGGTCAAACATGTTGACCTGATTTACTTGTCCACCAGCAGAACACTTATCCACCACGCGTCCACCAACAGAACACTTGTCCACCAAAAGAACACAAGTCCACCAACGGAACACTTGTCCACCAGCAGAAACTTTTGAAGTCAGATAACAAACAATGTCTTGCAACTCGTGTTTGTAGATTTACAAACTAATTACCAACATAATCATTAATTACTTTAATTTATGTAACTGTATACATATTAAATTGCTTGTATATCAGTTGTCTTCTGATTAAAATCTGTTTTACGCCATTGTGACTGTTTAAAATGTTAAAAACAAAATATAACGACATCGACCATAAAGTACGATTAAATTGAAAGTCCACTCACCGAGCAATAGTAGATGGAATTTACCAATGAAACATAGGAAAATAAAGGTTTGCCCTTTCTTGGCTAAATCTATTTTTTTTTAAGGCCAGCTCAATTTTCGTCAAGGTCGCTGAGATGTAAATAAGGTTAGGGCACGTGATTGTTGGCGAGATTGAAGGTTAGGGAAAGCATTTGGGCTAGGTCCAGGGTCAGGGTTAGCGTTGTGAAGTTGGCCTTATCAAATGGACGTAACTCCCTTTCTTGACTTCGTGGCACGACTTCTTAGCTTCACACTGATTAACTTCATAGCAACGCGACGATTAGGGCCCTTTGTCGGGGTTTTGGGTCTGCACTTGGTTAAAGCGAAGGCAATCAGGGGCGAAGGGTGCTGATCGACTTCCATATAGTGAATGCTGGACTACTGCATTATAAGATGAACAGTCTCGCCCAGTAGACATTTACACACTACAGTCACCAAATCAGAAATTTAACAAACATTTGAAACTGATGTTGGATTTTGATAAAATGCTGTTTTATCATAATGAAGTTAAAATCGACCTTTAGCTGGTTATATCGAACCTATTGGTTATAATTATCAAGCAAAAATGGAATATAACTCGCATATTTTGTCTGTAATTCAAATGAATAACCTGAATATAGACATAATAAATATATTAATGACGGGATCGCAGGGATGTTTTATTTGAAATTACAGAGATGCAGATGCAGTCTGCAAAACGGCATTAAAACGAATAGCTGACAATGTCTTCAGTATAACACCAGAAAACAATGTTCTCCTAAATACGTTTTGATATTATGCAGGATACATAAGTACCAGCATAATCCCCTGCTTTCACGTAGAGTACAAATGCTACGAATCGCCCCTAATAGTCGCCAATCGAAATTCTTGGCGATTCGGCAAAAACATCAAAAAGATCGTAGAGAATCTATATCAACTAGGAAACAGTTACAATAATTCGTGGGTATAACCGGGTGAAAAATATGCCGGGTGTCAAGGAAGCGTACGAAATGAAAGAATCATTTATATGGATTGAAGCGATCCCGATACGAAATTACGAATGAGTAAAGGATTAGCCGAAATCGGTTAGAAATACACTACACTTTCCACGAATGATGCCGATAAAGCTACGAAAAGTGTACGATATTTGGCACTATTCGTCAAAGAATCAAAGAGGAAGCTGTTACGGGCGATAAGAAAGGGATACGACGGGTTTACGATACATCTACGAATGTTTTTGACAAACTCTCGTGGCCGATCTACGAACTGCTACGACAATACGAGTGTGTAAATAAAAATCACTCACGAACTTCAAGAATCGTCAACGATTTATCTACGAATCGGAAAAAGTTTGGATTCGGGACGATTCGTGTCATTCGTAGCCCACATGGAAGCAGGTTACAAAAGACTTTGTTTCAAAAATCACTTCAAGAACCGTATACGATTTATCTACGAATCGGGAAAAGTTTGGATTCGTAGGCCACGTGAAAGCCGGGCATAAGTCTAATGAACGCGGTGTGCAGATGTAAAACGTGTGTATGGTATGTAGACGGATACTTGTTGCTGTTCAATAACTGTATTCAACACGATGATACATGATATTTGGACGGATATGTGTCCCTATTCAGTATGAAACGCGAATGTATATGCGAGTTGGACGGAGACTAGCTACTGTTCACTAACTGTATGCAACACGGTTGTATATGTTAGTTGGACGGAAACTGGATAATGTTGTTTATATGTAACACGTGAGACTGGTTATTTATTACCCGGCTTCCCATTTCCCTATATAAAGATAAAATTAATAACGCTTAGCAATTACTGTGAATTACAAGACCAGCCACAGTAGATATCAAACTGAAACCTTGAGTACACGATACAGCAGCAACACCACACAACTTCATCACTTCAGCAATAGTTTTGCACCACCATCTGAAAAATATAGGTTTCATTTTTTGGTTTACACCACCGCATGAACAACATAGGTTTTATTTATTGGTTTACAGGGGAACAGGGGCGTCGGAACGGGGGTGGGGGGCACGAAAAACAAATAAGTGTTTAGGTAGGAGGGGGATCCCAGCCAAGGCTTTTGCTTGCCACTGGTTGATCAGCATAACTAAGTTATGTCTTCAGGTGATAAAAATATTTTGTAGACATTGTTCGTGCCAATTTTATATTATTTACCTTTTATTTTGATCTCGTTTGTATTTTTGTTCTTCCTCAGCGTTTCTGGCTGTCTCGTCGTACATAGAATTCGTGTAATTGTTTCCATGGTTACTACGAACAAGTCTTGTGATCAGTCGATAAATAGCGTCAATGTCGTTTTCGTCGGGCTTTTCACTATCGATGAACGCACAACGCATATTACACAAGTTCAAAATGTTTTTTATGGTTTCCGGCGCAGTTACAAGACATTCACTCTGGCTAATTTGCAGCCCATTTTTGGACGTAAAAACTACAATCATATAATCAGTAACCCCGTCACCAAACGTCTTTTTTAACTCTTCAAAGATATCTTCATCCTCTTTTGTGAATCTGTGGGTCGCGCTGATAACCAGAATAAACACGTGCGGTCCTGGTATAGAGAGTTCAACAATGTCTTTAGCGATTCCCTCATTACTGTGTTTTGTATCAAACATTCCTGGTGTATCAACAATTAATAGACGTCTGTTACCGACTTCCGGAAATTTAACTATCCGTGCAGCTGCTTGAGATTTAGTGGTCATGGAGTTGAGATTCACACCAGTCAGAAAAACATCCTCGTTCAACAAGACGTTAGCCAATGAACTTTTTCCAACACCTGTTTTACCAAATACAACTACACGAATTTCTTGTGTGTCTATAAATTAGAAGTGAAAAGTCAATAAAAATGAAAAACAAACCTTAGCAATATAACAATTACTTACAGTATTTACTAACAACCAAACGCAATTATTTACAGTATTTACTAAAAATAAAACGCAATTACTTACAGTATTTACTAACACCAAAATGCCATTACATTATTTACTAAAAAATAAAACGCAATCACTTACAGTATTTACTAACACCAAAACGCAATTACTTACATAATTTACTAAAAATAAAACGCAATCACTTACAGTATTTACTAACAATAAAACGCAATTACTTACAGTATTTACTAACAAGAAAACGTAATTTACTTTTTATAAAATAATTGAAATACAGTTGTATATGTAAATATAGGATTTTTTAAAAATATATTGCAAATCTGAACACTTCGCTTACAAATAGTTCTCATCGCTTACAAATAGTTCACATCTCTTACTAAAACTTCGCAGCTCTTACAAATAGTTTACATCCCCTTCAAATTGTTCACATAGCTTGTGTAATGAATCTTATTTTGAAATAATAAAGACAGAGACTTACGTTCATAGGTAAATACAGAAGTTACCATGAAAAGAGAGAAAACTAGTACTGGGATGATAACCATTTTAAAGACAGGATATTATAATATCAGCTTGTAGTTCAAGGGTGATCTCTGTTCTGCTGGGAAAAAAAGAGAAATGAATTGAAAAGGGGAATAACGTCCTACTTTTCTGCACCGACTGGGATAATGAACACGGGCTTACGGTATGTTTTGTACTATGAGTGAAATTTTGGCCAGACAGCAGCGCTACGGCCTACTTTTATTTTTATTCCAACTGTTAGGTGATCTTTATGTGTACGCCAACGAGTACACGGTTAGCTTTCGGTTTTTCATCCCAACCGAACGACTGACAAGTTAAAATCTTTGTCATAATCTTTGCGTGGCATTAACAAGAGAACACGGTTTTTATTTTAAACTTTATCGTCATTCAATAAATTTGAGGTCAATATATATGAAATTCATAATAAAACCATTTACAGAGAATTAAATAACAAGAACAGATTCTAACAAAAACAGCAACCTAATGGCACAATGTCACTGTCTCGGTCAGCACTGGCGTTGAACCCAAGACCTATTGGTTGATTAGCCAATGACACACCCACAAGTGTTAAATGAGTTATAGGTAGTCAATAGTGATAAGAAAAATAACAAAAACCAATCGATTGTCTTCATCTGATCTAGTGGCGTGTAAAGGTTCGGTGATGCCTGGTGCAAACACATCGATTCTATGCTCCAAGACACAAGTATAAGGCTCCGTACTGAGACATGTGAGAAAGGGGGACATTTAAAAAAAATCGCGGATGGAATACATTAATAACGTTAACAGCAATAATTTCAAATTTCAAAAATCTTTATTTAATTTCACATACCCACCCCGTTTCCCATACTCTCCGGTCCACCCCCTGATATGGATGCTCGACGCCGTCTTTTGCTCTTCCTCCTCTCGAGTGGCCCCCGATTAATATCAGGATTACTACCTAATTAAATTACGTCTTACCTTAAGTTGAGTATACCTTGACTGATCTTACTCTACACCTGTCATATGTACAGGCATTTACCTTGATTGATAGTACGCAATACCTATTATATTCATATAGGTATTGATCTGTATTCACCTGGATTCCAAGAATTTAATTAACAAAAGGCTTTATTATTAATTTTTAGGGCCTACTTTCACTTTTATTTATTAATTGTTAAAAACTATTTTCGCTTTCATGAATTTGTTGTACATTTCTGTATTTGTCCAGTCATGCACGGTCATGTTTATAGTAGTTACTCACTAATAGATGGTCCAACCTATACTACCTTATTTATATATCCTATCAAAGACGGAATGAATGAATTAAACAGATGAATAAAATGGGGTTTAACATACTATTTTTCTGTATCAACTGGGATGATTAAGACGGAAATGCGCCATGCTATATGTGCTATGGGGGAATTTTTGCCCGGACAATGATTGAATTTCGACTGTCAATGGTTCTTTTATGTGTACGCCAACATGTTTCGTCCCATCCGAAGGACTAGGCGCTTTTCATTGCCAGACCCTCCGTTCTGCAGACACCCTGGTTATTAAGCCAGCAAATTATGTAGTATTATTTTATGATCAGTAGTGGAATACCGCGTTTTATCAGTGAAATAAAAGTGTTATTCCACTGGCTAGCAGTAGTCCATGTTGTTTTTACCTAAAATGATTGTAAAATCATAAAATAAATAGAACATTTGTCGTTTTGTCGTGAATAACATATTTTATTTCATCTCTGAGCAAGAAAACGTTTATATTTTCACTCATGCTACGCCTTCGTGAAAATATAAGTTTTCTTGCTTCTCGATGAAATAAAATATGTTATTCACTCTAAAACGACAAATATCCTCTATATGTTGGGTAATATACTATTCAAAAAAAGTAGGGGATATTTGATTTTGGGGGCATAATACTAAAATATGCAAATGACTACGAAAAAAGTCACTATAGACCCTAACAGAAGAAACATTTCCAGTTACATGTGACGCCCAAACGCACCAATAGCTACCGCATGGAATGCAGGTTATGCTTGGGATCATCATGGGGGTCCAACCCAAGATTTGCACGACTCTGACTTTGAATGTTACAGTCATTGTGGCATTGAATTCCAGGGTGGAAACATCAGTTTAATTGTTTCAGTGACCAGAAAACAAATTTTGATATGCGTCGGCTTACCCAAAATGAAAGGTTACGTGCCCTTGGCATGCTACAGATCGGCACAACACAGGCGGTTGTGGCGCGGACGATGAATGTTTCTCAGTCTGTCATAAGCAGGCTATGGTCCAGATACCGTGATACACAATCTGTACAGGACAGACCACGCTCAGGTCGACCAAGGGCGACCACTCAAGCCCAGGATCGATTTATCCGTACCTTGGCCTTGAGAAATCGTGTCATCACAGCAAATCAGATCAGCGCTCGTCTTCAAACAGACACTGGTGTGAGAGTGAGTGGCCAGACGATTCGGAATCGACTGCATAGGGGTCACCTTCGCGCCCGACGTCCTCGGGTGATCCCTTGTTTGAGAGATCATCACATTCAGGCAAGACGTCGTTGGTGTAGGGATCGTCAACACTGGGATAATCAACGCTAGAGCAATGTGATGTTTTCAGATGAGTCAAGGTTCACTGTTGATTTTTTGGACAGACGTAGGAGGGTGTGGCGTCGTCGAAACGAGCGCTTCCAAGACGTTAACGTCATCAGACATGATCGATTTGGGGGTGGTTCTGTTATGGTGTGGGGAGGCATCACTGTTGCTGGAAGAACGGCTTTACATGTTGTTGCAGGGCGTGTTACAGGCCAGTACTACCGGGACAACATCTTGGCAGTCCATGTTGTGCCGTTCGCACGACGTCATGGCCGCCGTTTCATCTTCCAGGATGACAACGCAAGATGTCACAGGGCCAGGATCGTTACAGGTTACCTCCAACAACAGAACATCACCACATTACCTTGGCCAGCACTGAGTCCCGACCTCTCCCCCATCGAGCATGTCTGGGACATGCTTGGACAGAGGTTACGTCAACGTCAACAACGTCCTGCCAATGTCCAAGAACTTGCTGCTACGTTGCAACAGGAATGGGACAATCTGGACCAAAATGACCTTAGACGTCTCATTAGGAGTATGCCACGTCGGATCAATGCTTGTTTGGCAAACAGAGGAGGATTTACCCGTTACTGACTTGGTTGTGATGCTGTGGTAACTTTGCTGTTTGACCCCGGGTATCATTTTACCCTTATAATGGTCAGTCTGTGCCTTACTTAGTCTAACGATCATTTGGAATAAATCGATGAATGTGAACTTCATTTCATTTTGTCATTTGTTTCTTCGTCAGTTTCATTAGGTGACTTTAATAACACTTAAAAATCAAATATTTTTTGAATAGTATATATGCAAAATATAGTTAATCAAATCTCAGCGTTATATTAATAATTTGCCCTTGGCCGGTTATTGTTTTCATATTCATAGACAAGGCATATCTCACGTAAATTGACTGATAAGTTGATACATGAAATCAGCTATAATTTGGTAAACATTTAATTCTGGGTTAAAAATTAAATAATACGTCTAACACTCCCGATGGAAAGTTTCCACTGTCCATACAATTCACAGGCTAGAATAGCAAAAAAAAAAATTAACGCATTTGCGGCGGTTAAATTTTCAAAATTTTCTCTGGGAACGCGAGTCCCCCATACCACGCGACAATTGATTTGTTGTTTGGGATTTGTGATTTAGGTAAGTCACCTACGGTAGGCCATATTGGACCACATGTGGTACTATGGTCTTTGCGACCATATTGTATCTTTAACTAATTATTAGATTCACGCTTTTTATAAAGCCAAATTTCACGCACTCAAATGAAATTGACTGATGTGTTTGTATATAACACTGGTTATGTCCTTTCCATTGTCAAATTATCCATCAAATACTATCTTGTTTATGACATGTGTTTGGTAGACCAAATAAGAGAATGGGGTATGGAGATGTTTATTCCATATTTGGGAAGGAATTAACACCAAGGCCCAGGAATTGGGGTGTTATAAAAGAGGTCGCTGAGCGAAATTCAGGAGAGCTCACCCAGACTTTCAGGTCAGCCATCAATAGCTATATTATTGAGGACGAGGAACATTGAGGCAAAGCGGGTTTAATAATAAAGTTGTAGAAACGAACAACCTGTAGTTATATTTACGATCATGAAGGGAACACAACAAAGACGTTTGGAATTACTACACACATTGAAGTTTCTGTATTCACGGCTGTAATATATATAGCAGGAATACGTGTGAAACATCCTTCATAAAATGGCTTCTTGTTATTAAAAAATTTAAGAGTCACGTACGTCATAATCCAAATGTATAAATAATGAATTTATTTATCGTTGATGTTATACATACGTATATAATTTCACATACCGTCTTTTTTATATTATATATTATTATTGGCATACTTATTCAACAAGGACGTTACGCAAATAACGCACCTTTGCCGGCCAACGTTTGAACAAGTTTTAAAAAAAACCAAATATTTAAACGGTTACATCACATTAAAATCCAACTTAGCAATACTTTAATGATTTATGAATAATGTTTTTAATGGTAAGTCTTATCATATATATTAAAAAAAGCCCTAAATATAGCTTGTTTATTGTATTTTTCTGGCCGTGGACAACCCTAACATAAGTACTGATATAAACAAAACTTAATGTGAGTAATGTGCCAAATATTAACTTTTTATACGATACATGTACATATTAACTTTGGACCCCTAACCTGGAGGGCCAGTGTTCGATCCCGGTGATGGCTTAGAAAGTACATTTGGATTTTCCGGTGTGGTTCCGGGGCGGAGGGTCTGACTCGGGGCGCCGTATATTCGCTGGGATGGTGTACACGAAGAACCCCTGGCAGATGGAATTAGTTATAAGATACAAAATATGATGTAGTGCCGCTGTTTGGGCAAAATCGTCCTCATTGTACACTGTATAGCATATACCCGTCTTCATTAGTCCACCAGGAGCAGAAAAGTAGAACTTTAAATCTTTTTTAATTGCGTATTAGCTAAAATGACACCAGCACTTTAATAATTGACATTATGGGCATGCGCATAAACAAGTGGGGGAAAACCCCATTTATCTGTGTACTGGAAATTGGACAAATAAAGACTACGTTGTAAATGGTTATTGATATCTTAAAACTCCAAGGTATGTTACTAATATCATGATATTTACCATGTTAACATGGCGTGTGTGTGTGTTATTATATACGGTATATATACAGTGTATTACTATATCAATGTATTGGCGACCTGTTGATATTATATATGTGTGTATACAGGACGAGAACTAGTAATTGTTTCCCTTGTAGTCCGTCTATTAATAGCAATTTATTCTCCCTCCCCACCCCACCCCCTTTGACAAGGCAATTCTTGTTGAATATTTGGACTAGAGCCACAGAAAGTGATAGGACTTAACATTTTATGATTTTGAGGTGGAAGAAGAATGAAGTAAATTGACACGAACTAGGGAAATCACCTACGAAACTGACGTCACAGCCTATACAATGTTTTGACCGGGTCTAGAAAAACCCCATCGAAAGCGTCACACCATTCAATATTTTAACAGATGATTGTGACATGTTGCGCTCTTTGTGGTTATAAAGATTGAAATCCTCGGAATGTTCAAATACTTGTTATATGCCCAGAAATTGTCACGGATTTAAAATTGAAGTCAACGGGCGGAAGTGGGGGCGGGGTGTTATTAGTCTTATTCATAGCTTAGTTATTGACGTATTCTATACATCTGATAACAGTGGTGACCTACATTTCATTCACGAGAAGGAGGGAAATGGGGTTTAACGTCCACTCGACACAAACTAGGTCATTTCGGGACTAACATATGGTTTTAATGTTATTTCAATAATTTGTTTGTGCGTAGGGGTCTTTAGCAGTGGGAGGAAACCGGAGGACCCGGAGAAAACCCACGAGGTTGGACAGGCGACCCTACTCCTTGTCACGTACAACCGGGTATTCGAAACCACATTTCATTCAAAGTACTGTACTAAATATAGCTTTGTTATTGACGTATAATATATAATATAACACTAATATTATTTAACCTCCACTGGCCACCTATTACTTACAGAAAAGACTATAAAATCCTACTATTAACCTTCAAATATCTAAATGGTTTGGCTATAGTATATCTATCCATCCCACGTGTTATTTCAAAATCGACCCATCCATCAATTCCGCTCAAGAAGTGATAAATGATGACTGGAGTCATCAGCTGGAGAAAAGTTGTTCGCTATAAAGCCCCTAAACTATCACTTGGCAATTTTATTGAATTGTAAAGCGCATCTGAGCACTTTTGTGAAAGTTGCGCTATAGAAATACACCCCAATAATAATACCATACGTTAGTTCTGAAATGACTTAGTTTATGTTGAGTGGATGCCAAACTCAGGGGATCTAAATCATATTTCATTTCATTTCAGATATGTCAAACAGAATGGAACCGAGAGGGGCTGATTTAACCGAGTAAGTATGCATTACTATTTGTAATAACTTCTTATAGGCGTTGAGCAATCAAATACAAAGAGGGAAATAAAAAGGACACGAATATCAGATTGGGGTAATGGTGCCAGTAGACGGTCTCCCATTGATCACGACCTTTCAATGTAGTTGTCTCCCTTGAATACAAATATTAATACCAAATGGTGGACAATTACCAGGGAGTCTGGAACGTCCCTAATTTAGAGAATTGCAATCGTGTGCAGTGGAATGCAGTTCCGGAACGTCTGATTGGTCTCTGTCTCCATGTAAGCTCAACAATACCACCGCTAATTTCTCCATTAAATATAATATTAATTCTGATCTATTTGCCCGGTTCTAACTTATCATTCAGGATTTAACAAAATTTCTTTAAAAACCTAAATAAAATAAAATGAAAATGAAAATGAAAAACAAAGTCAAAATCAAAAGTAAATTAAAAGCAAAAGTTCAACCAAAAGCAAAAGTTAAATCATAACTAAAAATTAAATCAAAAGCAAAAATAAAAGTAAAAGTAAAACCAAAATGTAAATTAAAATCAAAACACAAATGAAAACTAAAATCATTTTTAAAAGTAATTTGAAATGTAAAACAAAAGTAATTCCTAACTGTTCAGTATCAACCGGGATAATGAAGATGTACATTATTACAGATGTACAGATGTTTTATTAAAACTAGAAGTTATGTAGTTGGCTCGCTGTATTATTGGCGTACGTTTAGCGCTGTATTCTGTTCTCGCGTCGTTGTTTTCTTTTCGCAAATCGGATCAAAGGAACTACTTATTATGTTATCTAGCGTTTACTACACAAAGTCATCGTATAAATCATATCATACTGAACAGGACATCGTGATACGGCGAATTGTTCACATGAATACATGGGCAGCAGGAAAGTCACAAATATTTATCGGTTTCCCTCCTTATGAGTGACTATCTTTGTTCCGTGTTTAATCTAAAATCGAAGAGGGTGTTTTGTGTCACAGGTTAGAGGCTAAATGATAACTGAGTTAATTGGCGTATGACTTTATATTTTGGAACCTTAAAATAGACAAAATTGGGTCTAAAATCACGTATGATTGTAATATGAATGAATATAAGGTGATTAATATTACATTTTTAAAATTAATGTTTATTGTAATTTCTAATCAATTAACTTCGTCGGTGAATTCTATGTTGAACGGCAGGCATTTGTATGGTGGCCTATCGTTACCATTCAGAATTTAACAAGATTTGCGAACACAATATATATATCCAACCGAAAACATTACTGATCCGGGCAGAATGCTGCCTTTTAGTCATTTTAATACTTCACTTTAATTTTGCTTTTGGTTGAACTTCTGCTTTTAATTTACTTTTGATTTTGACTTTGTTTTTCATTTTCATTTCATTTTGTTTAGGTTTTTAAAGAAATTTTACAGCTACCTGTAGTAAAAATAATGTAGGGTCTAATTGAAAGGGTATGTGGGTGTGGGTTTATGTTTTAGTGGAAAAAATCACGTGGTTTCAATGCAATTTACAAAAATACGGACAGAGTCTTGTCTCCATTATTTCATAGACATATTGCTCAACCAATGTAAAAGATATATCCTTGCTCATCAGACTAGGCGATCCGCTTGTGTGCTCACACATGGTCTTGTGCGTCATACAGCATCAGCAGTCAACACACACCTGGAATGCTGTTCCCTTGTCCATTATATTTTCTGCAGTTTGATTTAAATCAAAATTTAACCAATAGCATATTCTTTTCCGAGGATGAAGGCATTGGGTGTTTTCACCAATATTTAATTTTGTGTCAATTCACAATTGTTAGTATAAATTTAAGCATTTACTTGAAAATTATCATACGTTTCATCTGGCCCTAAATCGAGTTAGTGCAAACATTTTGTTTGGAACTCTCTGGATTTGTGTTCCTGGTGTTATAAGCTTTCCAAAAATGTATAGTTTGTTTATTAGGGAGGATCGTGTAGCGGAATTGTGCTTCTAAGCAAGCTAGAAATTTTGGCTGCAGGCCCAGCTGAGAACGGAAGACATTATAAATATGTAACATCGGATGAAATAAACTTTTTATTCAAATTAAGTAGATCAGCTTGTACAACAAAGTCAAAAGTCATTTATTCAATTTTCAAAATCTCCATTTTATTTCCACTCTTTGATTGAAATGGGTGCCATTGAAATGTATATTCGAGGCACCATCCTCCTGCCCCTCGGCAGAAGTAATGGACAAAATTCATTAAATTGGGAAGTCAAGTGTTTAGATGCAAGTCAAGTTTAAGTGATGTCAACATGAAAATCGAAATGGATACTATGTTATGATGTATTTTTTAAAGATAAAAAACAAATTATTTTCCAGGCTATTATTCACTCTACGCAATGCTGATAAGTGTGGAAACATAGAAGAGACGGTGCAGATACTATCAGCTCAAAAAAAACTGAAGCCAGTCCTCTATTTAGCAGCCAGGGACGGATTATTAAACGTTGTTATATATCTAATAGACAATGGTGCTGATGTACATTTGGTAGACAGATGTGGATACAATATCCTTCACCATTTTTTGTGTTCTTTAAGATTGAAAGATGTTAGAGCAGTGGATGAAGATAAATATGTACAAATTATTCAAACTTTAATAAACCTAGGCGTTGCTGTAAACCAATCCAACGACGAAGGCAATACGCCGTTGTTCTATGTAGTTCATAAACAAGGTTCCGTACATAAGCCAAAAAAGGAAGATGAGTTTGCAATTTTAAAGATCAAATTAATACAACTTTTAATAGAAAACGGTTGTAATGTGAATCATCGAAACAAAGAGGGCAAGAGTCTATTAATGTTTTTCCTGGAAAGACAAGCAGATATCAGACTTATTAATCTACTGACGTTACAAGGTTCGGATGTAAATCTAGTCGATAATAATGGCGAAACGGCATGTAGCTACTGTGTTAAACATCACTTTTCGGACTGTTATAATATTTTTATACTCCTGGTGGATTCGGGCGCAGAACTGTTTTCAGCTAAAAATGGAATTAAGTTACTTCGTCAAATTCTCAGGTATAAACGACGTGATGTTTTCCTTTATTATCTTGGATTCAAAATGGTTATCAAAGGCACCACGGACGAAGAAGAAAATATGCTACATCTGTTAGCTAGAGTAAACTTTAATTATTCTCTAGACAAGTTTAACTATTTGTTTAATAACGAGCTAGACATAAACCATCCATGTTCTAACACCAATACACCTACTATGATAGCCGCCCTGTTATTGAATAGTAAATATTTAGCATTGTTCACACGTCATCCTGAACTAAATATCAATGCACAGAATAATCAGGGTCACACAGCTCTCCATCTTTGCATCATTGGATTTTCGATGTACAAAAATGGCTTAAATGAAAGACAATTATATGATGTTGTTCGGAATTATTGTAGACAAATATATCCGATATACATGGAGTGTGTTGATATTTTACTGGGTGCTGTTGGTATTGATGTAAACCTTAAGGATATCGGTGGTAGAACTGTTTTGATGATGGCAGCAATGAAAAATGATAGAGTTATGATTAAAAAGTTGCTTAAAGCCGGTGCAATGGTTAATATCATCAATTCTTCGGGCAAATCTGCTCTACAATACCTTGATATTTATAAAAATGTCTTTGATCTGGCGTGTTTTAAATTACTTATATCCAATGGCAATCGTGATATTCTCAATTTACCCTGTGTCGATGGTAATACAATTATTCAAGCCGCCCTGTGTTTTCCAATTTTCTGGACGCCACGGGATGTTGTTCGTTTTATCAGATATTTAGTTGCAGAGAATGCGTCCCTTCAGACGCTAGTTACATCATCAGTAAAATGTAGTTACAAGCAAATTAGTGTGGATGAATTAAACATCAAAGAGAGAGATGAACTGAGAAAACTTTTATATCTCAGTGGTGCCCCGAAAGAAGAGATTATATCGGTTATGGATTTTGATGCGGATGACAAGTCGGCTTATCACGATGAAGCTATGTCCTCTCGGCATAAAGAACGACTTAATATTTTCCATAATAATTTGTCTCTTAAGTCCCGGTGTCGAAGAATTATCAGGCAGAATCTTGTATGGGGACTACAGAAATTAGTAACGTATCTAGAACGCCATCCAGCACTTAATCAGTTTCTTCGATTGACAGACATTCGTGTTCCTGACGATTGTCATCCGTATGCTTTTGATCGTGATGCGAGTAATGTAGGTGATACCTTATCTCTTAAGGCTCTGTGCAGGAAACACATCAGACATAATCTTGTCTTTGGAATACAAGAAAAGGTGAAAGAGCTAGACCTGCCCAGAGAGTTAAACGATTTTCTTCTGTTAAAAGATGTTCTTCATCCTAAAGATTACAATGTCTTTAATATTGATGATGGTTGTAATGATGATGATGATAATGATTATGATGGTTATGATATAGATAAGGATAGAGATGATGATTATAGTCAGTATAATTACCAATATTGTGCTTTGTATAATGATGATGAACTTCTAGAAGAATTTAAGATATTTAAAGTACAACTTGAAGATGATTATGGCGATTAGGACCTATTTTACATTATTCTTTCGGATTGTTAAGATATCATGATGATATATGTTGAATCCTGTGCAAAATTGCTTTGTTTTATTTCTCAAAGGAACTGAAGATGTTCTCAATGAAATGAAACCGGATGATCGGACTGATCGTAAAAACACAGTACCTTTTAAAATTTAAACTAATATTGACATACCTAAATACTTAAAATGCAAGTATACAACAAAGCTTATTTAGATATAATTGTTTTAGATATATCTAATAAAACATATTTCCCCAAATAATATAAATCAACAAAGACCTGTCTAGCTGTGCTGCAATTAGATTTTTTTATTTTTCATAGATTAAAACAAAAATAATGGAGAGGCGGACAGGGGGTCCTGGTGTTCATTCATTTCGGGACTAACATATGGTTTAATTTTTCTTCAATAATTCGTTTGCGAACAGGGGTTTTTAGCAGTGGGAGGAAACCGCAGGACCCGGGGAAAACCCAGGAGGTTGAAGAGGCGATCGTACTCCTTGTCACGTACAAGCAGGGAATCCAAGCTCCACCTGACGCATAGACAGACTCTGTGATTTAACGCCACGTTTTAAACCATTCGGCCACCTAGCCCCCACCTCGTAACAGATTGGTAACCGAGTGGTCGCAAATTGTCGTAATTTAGTCCATCTTAAGAATAGACTACAGTCCGCCGCGAATCCGACTTTACTGTAGGCTAGTATCCGTTTATATATCGGTTTTTCCTTGCGCATATTTGAATTTACTAGAGAGTCACTGTGGAACCAAATTTAATCTAAATGAGTTTAATACAAATCAACCTCTCACCAACCCCACAATACACCCCCACACGCTGTTAGAAACGTTGAATAAGTGGGGAAGGCGTTGCTCCCTAATCAGGATGTTTCGGGGTTCCAGGGTTTTCTAGCTTGGTTGCCCCTCGTAAGTGGTGCAAGACGTGTGGGCGGATATTCAAGGTCCGGTATATATCCCCGGAAGCATGTTAAAATCTCCGTAATTTGAAATAATAATAGGCCGTTGTGTCCCTGTCAGGGCAAAGTGTTCCTCATGGCATATTGTATGGCATGTGTCTATCTTCATTTGTTTAGTAGTAAGTCATTAAATAGCACCAGATTGCACACAACTATATCAATCCAGGAAATAACCTACTTGTTCTGCTGGATTTGACTTAGTTTTCGGTATTGCCATCTTTTTAACGCTGTTGACTTGCGTATCGGGGAGTAGCTTAGCTATCTCAATCTTTGTGCACATAGAATGTTTATGTCGTTAATGGAAAATGTCTTTACAACATGGTTTCAAGGAACCAAGCGACATGTCGGTTCAAATGGCCTTGGTGTTTTAATTATTGATAGAAAAAAATAGACAAAAATTAATGAAGCAAAACATTTACACTTTTCATGAGGAACAATGTTTCAGTATTTAGCATTTAAAATACACTATACACGGATATGTATATATCATGAAGGGTTCAACTATATAATTATTCATTACACGGTGTTTCCAGTCGCAGATAGGGATGTCACAGCTGTATTCGGTCATGCATAAGCTAGGAGTTTCTAGCCGCATTTAGGAGTCAGCATATCACTATTTTAAAGAAATAGAGTTCAAATACATAATTATCTATTATACCGTGTTTCTAGCAGCATTTGATGATGTTACAGCTGTGTTGGGTGATGCATAAGCTACGTAAGCCATCAAGGGATTTACTGGCACATTAGCATACGAAGTGTACGATGGCTGACCTGCTGTCACTGCTGAGGAGGATTGTTGATTTCCGGCGGCATTTCTCACTACAGCAGCGTAATTAACACTGTTAACTTGTTGGTTGGCAGCATTAACTTGTTGGTTGACAGCATTAACTTGTTGATTAGCAGCATTAACTTGTTGGTTGACAGCATTAACTTGTCGATTTGCAGCATTAACTTGCTGATTAGCAGCATTAGCACCATTTACCTGTTGATTAGCTGTGTTAGTAGCGCCTGCGACATTAGCATATGTAGAAACGCCTTGGTTTGTTGCTGTAACTGCTGCGACGTAATTAGCAAGGGCAGCATTAGCTAAGTATTGCCCTGGGTTGGCAGCTGCGTTATTGTATACATAAGTCGTACCGGTTGGTGCCTGCTGGTTTGCGGAAGCTACAACGTTTGCCTGAACCTGTTGCATATTGGCTGCCGTGTTCACATTAGAGTTAACAGCCGTGGCTTGTTGGACATTTGAAGCTGTCGCTGCATTGTTTTTATTCGTTTGCTGTTTCCCACCACCTGCGTTGTTTGCTTGTGCGTTAACAGCTGCTGCATTCGCTGTCGTTTGTGCAGCCGCGTTACCCGTTGTGGCATAATTCAGATAAGCAAAGTTTGCTTGAGGTTGAGCTTGGTTGACATTAGATAAATATTGCTGGACATTGACTGTCTGGGGAGCTTGGTTGGTTGCCATAGAGCTGTACGAAGTATACAAGTTGGCTGGATTTCCTACAGATGTAGCATATTGAGCTGCATTAACGTTCGTGGGATACCGTTGGGCTGCAGGATTAGCTGCAGTTGCGACATATCCACCGTAACTATAAGGATAGATAGCCTGTCGTTTTGCTCTGTGACGAATATCTATTGAATTAGAGAATACTGTACTGATAAGTACCATACACACAGTAACCTATAATAAAAACAAATAATATTTGTAAAAATTATGGCAATTGTAGTCCTATTTAGCATTATCTCTTAATTTGGGTCATTATACGATTGGGCTGTATTTATATCAACCTGTCAGCGACGTGCAATTCCGAAATTGATTATACCGGTCTTTTGTGCATTCCGTCATGGTGTGTAATCCAACATATTTAAAGATCCCGTACAATGTCGGAAGTGACAGATTCCACTGTAGTACATTATTAATTGCATGTTTCGGAAAATGTCCATTTTCTTACGACCTAATCCATGCTAATACTCGGGATTAATTAACATTTAGTTATTAAAAGAAATTCAAAATACCAACGCTAGATAATTTCCCGACTTGGATTCAGTCAAATTTAAGCAGGACCGTCATAGTATATCGCGAAACGTAGACATGGCGGAGTACCATTTACATCTTGAACAGCATAGATCGACGAATTTCAGTTCATCATATCTGTGTAAACACTGCATTGAATCGAACCATTTTTGGACTGATGCGTCTAGTAGAAATTCAATTTACATTATTGTATATTGCTCAATTCAGGCCCGTCTGAGGTTCACGCAAAGGAATGCTAGTTTAATATCGGAACGCCCATCGAGTAATACACTTCACATACTTGACGGTTTGCATTCATTGACTTCTGATTTGTTCCTTTTTGGTCGCCATGGGGGTAGGTGTGGATTAGTGAGTGAGGCATTAGCTCGCTAGACTGGAGATCCCGATGTTGGCTGAGTAAGCGCCCCGGCATTTTCCAGCGTGGTTCGCCGTTGTCAGTTGTGCAGAGGGCCTGGCCAAGTAACAATGTCTAGTCGTTTGGATGGAACAAAAAGACGAGGTCCCTTGTACAATTTGAAACGAGGGTATGCCTTACCGCCACATTTCCCTCAGCCGTCTTCATAAGACCCGATGGAGCAGAAGAGTAGGCTGTTAAACCCGATATATTTCAAATTTTGGGAGTATTTCGTAACGAGAAATCATATTCTTTGACGTAAACTGGAGTCGTGCGCCATTGCCATTATACATAAATATATATACATGTACACAACAAGCCAATCATATCATATCAAACACGGTGCTTAAAGAAATAAATCACTGGACTTAAATCTAAAGATTTAGACAAAGAGCTGGCCGTTCTTGCTATAATATTCCAAAATAGATCATGAAAACTGAATACATTGAATATTTCAGTCAAGTGCCATTATTGTTACCATAACAAACAAAGTCTCGATTATCCATTTTAGAAGTAAATTATTAAATGGCGACCGCTTTTCACCCATTGACAATCGCGACCATCCGATAATCTGGAGAGTTGGCCATGGGCTTGCCATGTGCAATAATGTCTAACTAAAACATTTATATAACATTTGAAGCCAAAATAAAGACATGCAAGATTTAGCTCTTACACAATGCATCTTTAATATAAAGGTTTCCTACCTGAAAATTCCTCATAATATTGCAGCTGTAGAAATGTAATCTGCTACTGGGTTAAACGATTAACACAAATATGTCGTTTTGTAACACCAACATTTCAATTTATACTATTTCATTAACAAACGATATTGGTACAATGTTCAAATTTAGAACAAAATATGATATTAGTAATATAGACAGTCAGGTTATTTTATTTGTGTATAATTGATATAATTAACGCGTGGCATTCTGTCACATTTAATAATATATATATTTAATATACAAACGTGCGTTTATTTACACGACTAATTGTATGAATTGTAGTATATTGTAACACAATAATATCATTTACCTGCTCGTTCACGAATTCGTTGGTTTTTATGAGACGCAAGTCTTTAAATGAAATATTGGAACGTGTGTTTATTTACACGACTATATACCTAATTATGTTCATTGTACTTTATTTTTATACAGAATAAAATTACAAATTACCTCAACGTGCTCGTATTCACTGATATTTAGGAGAAGTGAGCTTTTAATGAAATACCGGAATTTGTATTTATTTACACGACTATATACCTAATTATATCCATTGTACTTTATTATAATACAGAATAAAAAATACACAATACCTGCCTGTGCAACAGATAGGAGACTTTAAACCAGGGGTGGCTAACGTTTGACGCGCGCTTTAAACTTGGAGCATTGGTGATTAGTAATGAAATGAAATGTGGTTTAACATACCACTGTTCTGCTCCGACTGGGCTAATGTAAACGGGCTTATTCCATACAGTGAGTTATAAAGGAAATTTTGTCCAGAGAGTGGCGCTACGGTCGATTCTTAAATCGAATTCCAAATGCCAATGTATCTTTAACGTGCACACCAGTATGTACACGGGGTCTCAGATTTTCGTTCCATCCGAACGACTATACGTTATCCATTGCCAGACCCTCTGTTCCGCGTCCTTCATCACTGACAAGGGAATTCCTCGGCCAACGCAGGGATTGAACACGGGACCTCCAGGTTAGCGAAACAACGTCTGTTTCACTGAGTCACTGGGGAGGGTTTAAAGTGGCGCAGCCGTATTACATCCCTGTAATAAAAATAAACATTGGCGATAAGCTTAGTCATTATTTTACCAATTTTATTATTTCGTGGACATTCTTTTGATTTTGTTTAGGCTAACATTGAAACACGGAGCTTAGTCTGGGCCAGTAGAATGCTACGTATACAATGATGGTGAATCCTTTCAAAATCGTGTACATCTGATTATTATTACATCCGTAAAACAAAAATGTAGTATACATATATTTGATATGTTATAAGTTGTTGTGAACCGTTATGGGGATCACGTGGCTAAGTGGGTAAGACGCTAGCTCGCTAGCCTGGAGGTCGGGTGTTCGATCCCTGCATTGGCCGAGAAAGTTCATCCAGATTTTCCGGCGTGGTTCTCCCTTGTCAGTGATGCAGGACGGAGGGGCTGACAAGGAAAGCTGTCTAGTCGTTCGGATGGGACGAAAAACCGAGGTACCGTTTACACATTGGCGTGCACGTAAAAGATCCCTTGGCAGTTGGAATTCGATATAAGAGTAGGCCGTAGTGCCGCTGTCCGGGCAAAATTTCCCTCATAGCACACTGTATGCCCGTCTTCATTAGCCCAGGTTAGGAGCAGAACAGTAGGACGTTAAACCCCATTTCATTTCATTTCATTTCACTTATGAACCGTTATGGTCCATGTCCACTTTTTGAACTAGTAACCTTACATCATGTCGAATAAAATGGAAGCCAGTTCCAATGATCGTAGTAAGATTTGCAGATTATTATGTTGCAATATTTAAATTTCATATATATCTAAGTCAATAATTATTGTTCATAAATATTATCTAGTATGTTTTATTTATTTGACGTGTCATTATCGACCATTAAACCACACTTAATTCTTATTTCTTCATTTGTTGTCGTATTCCGACATTTGTACACTAAAATTAACATTTGTATCTCAAAATCAATATTTGTTTTACAAATCAGACATTTGTCATATCAGATTTGTAAATTGTATTTTTGTTTAATTTAATTGTATTTTAATATAAAGATAAAATATATTTTAGAAAATCAAAAAGTTAGCGTATAATGTACATTTCATCAGACACACAACAAAAAACAAATCTCGAATAACAAATTTCCAACTGCAAATCTTGCAAAACATTTCTCCAAAAATATTTCTCGAAATACATCGAACCGGAACAATCAAACGAACAAAACATTAATTTTAAAGATATGCACACCGCAAATAAAGGAGAGTTATTTAGTACAAGGAAGAGAAAATAATAATGGTTGTATAGTGTGAAATTTTTAATAATTTAAAACTATTGTTTGTGGACATGATGTACGTGAACTCATGAGTATGAGTATTTACGTCACGAAGCAGGCATGTTGAATACCAATATAGTTCAAAATTTCGTTTTACTTGGCTTCACAACACTAGGATCTGGAAGAGTTGTCATATAACAGGCATTCTAGTTGATGTGGGGTCTGTTACGGAACTGTTTCGGAACTGTGGGTAAACCCCGAGAAACGTCAACGTCAACGCTGATTGATTAATCAATGTCAAAGTCGCTCGTATGACCCCTGACGGGACCTCCTAGTACAACTGGTCAGGTCTTCATGTAGTGTAGGCCATCGAAAGTATAAAAAAAAACGAAACGAAACATAGATCTGTATTTTAATCAGATTGTTTGAATACTGGACCAAAACAATAAGAAATATTGTTACTTTCACTGCAAGTATCTAACCGTTTCTTTTTCAGTGGATATTAACACGGTAATTTTAAACCACAGCTTATATAAAATGTTGCGCGATTTGTATCCCACTATTGTTAACAGTGAGTAAATATCATTGTCTATTTCATAATGTAGATTTCTATTGTAAGTTATTTGTACGTTTTCTTATGAATTTTTCTAACATAACTAAAATTAAGACAGTATTCAGTATAATTCAATAGACCATTATTATTCAATATGAATAAATGGATAAAACGTTTCCGAATTGTATTAATACTAAAATATAACGACTTGTTAACACCGTATTCGGTATAGCTTAATTATGTAAACTTTTTAACCATATTCAAAATAACTAAATGTATACCCATGCATTCCATCGATCTATAACTAAAGGCTGAAAATATATTCAATATTACGAAATATATTGAATTTTTAACACCGTATTCAATATAAACAGTGCATATATAAATTTGTTATCCCCGTATTCAAACTAAACAAAATATGTAAACTGCATTCAAGAAGCTTATAACTTTAAATATATAAACTTTTTAACACATTACTCAAAACTACTAACTAACGGATGGCCCATAGCTACATGAGTAGTATAACACCGAAACCGAAAGCCAACGCCACCAGGCCTATGTTACTCCCCTGTCCGAGCTACCTCTATGTCTATGCACCATATTTCAGCCAATTGACAGTCCTGGGCCCAATTCCTAGAAAATTATTAAGCACGTTCTTGTGCTTAGATTTAAGTAGATTTTGCATTTTAAGAAAACCTTCCTTATTTTGTGTTCCCAGAAATTTCTTAAGAACGTTCTTGGGCTTAGATTTTAAGTAGACTTCATTGTAAGCACAAGAACGTTATTATGCGTTCCAAGAAAAAACTTAAGCACAACTTCGTTCTTAAACATAGTCAATCTAAGCACAAGTCCCAAGCAAGGTACCGAGACAAAAACATCTGAGTAGACTCACAAAGAGTCAGGGCCAAAGGCCCGACGCTCACACTGCTTCAAAAAGATGGCTGACTGTAGAGTTATTCGATGGCATTTTCGACACCTTTTGATACCAAAGAGATAATTACAAGACAGAGAAAATCCTTCTCCAGAAGAAATTTCAAATTAAGAATGCTATAGAAAATTTCGCTTCTAGGCCTACCCTGAAACCATTTTATTTATTTGCCAATTAGTAAACAATAGGCTACAAACACACAGGCTACTTTAAGATCAGGCGCTCTCACAATTATTCTGTTATTTTGTATGTGTCTGCGTTTTTTTATCTTGTGGCACATTTTATATGTGTATAGGGGACATGTCAAATGCATCGAAATGAACCATATATATATATATATGAAGTCAATGAAGCAGACGACAAATTTAAGACGCAATTCGCATACCAAAGTTGTTTTTATGACGTTCAAGAGAATCGTAGTCTCAGTTTATGGTAAACTTTACCAGTCACAATGTGCTTAGACTTATACTTGACTTGTGCTTTCGTAAGAATGGTCTTGAGAGTTTTCTAGGGACGGTAAGTTTCTAACGTAAGAAAAAGTGAAGCGTGACTTTGTGCTGACTTTAAGAATTTTCAAGGAACCGGGCCCAGGTATAACCACAAACCGTGAACAGACAAACAAGCGACTGTCACACATTAGTATGGTTTAACCGGACCTTCCCATCATATGATTGTTTTGATAAAGAATTAGGAGGTTAGTAGACCGTGGGTGTAGGACGATAGTCTGTTTTAAAGGACAATATTGGTGCCAGTCATTATCACATATGTGTTAGAGCTGGTTAAACACATTCCAAATATATTTTTAACACAGAGATCATTGCTACGATAGCTGAATAATACAGGTTTCCCGTATCGGAAGTGACGAACGCCAAAGGAAAACCTGAGTCGCCGCTCTCTATAACTGACTGAAGCGACGAGTGATAACAGATATACGGCCGAATTTCTACTCACTAATAATTCCTTTGAAGACCAACAGTTGTTGTATGGGACTGTAAGAGGATACCTGACAATTCAATAAAGTAATTGAATGTCATTAGATAAGAGGACACGAGAAAAATAGAAATAGTCCGTACATTCCCTTGTTTATATTCCTTCTATACCTTATAAAAACACGGTAATGCACGGACTTTTTCTGTTTTTCTTTCGTGTTCTCTTATCTAGTGGCAGTCAATTCTTTTTATGAATTGTCAGATGTCCTCTCACAGTCTCACACAACAACTGTTGGTCTTCAAAGGAATTATTAGTGAGCAGAAATTCGGCCGTATATCTGTTATCACTCGTCGCTTCAGTCAGTTATATTGATCAGCGGTGACTCGTGTTTTCCTTTGGCGTTCGTCACTTCCGATACGGGAAACCTGTGTTACTCAGCTATCGTAGCAATGATCTCTGTGTTAAAAGTATATGTGGAATGTGTTTAACCAGCTCTAACACATATGTGATAATGACTGGCACCAATATTGTCCTTTAATTAATTAGTATCACTGGTGTAAACTTCTCACTCTTATTATTGTTACTGGTGAAGACTCCCCACTATCAGTAGATTGGGCAAATTAGTGAAATCAGTTTACTAATAAATTTACATTGTGCGCTGTTTTGATGTAAAGCGACACAATGTGCATCGTCGAGCAGCTGTAGATGCCGGTTTATCCAATGATGCAGGAACACCAGATGCTGTTTATCTGATAATTCGAAAAAGTAATTGAATGTCACTAGAAAAGGGAAAACGAGAAAAATTATAGAAATATTCCGTACATTTCCTTGTTTTTATTCCTTCTATACTTAATAAAAACACAGTAATGCACGGACTTTTTTCTATTTTTCTCGTTTTCTAGTGACATGCAATTACTATTCTGAATTATCAGATATCCTCTCACAGCCTCACATAACAACTTTTGGTCTTCGAAGGAATTATTAGTGATTAGAAATGCGCCCGTGTATCTGTTCATCACTCGTCACTTCAGTCAGTTATATAGAAGGATAAATCGCGTTTTCCATTTGCGTTCGTCACTTCCATTTCTCGAAATCTTCATAACGCATCTATCATAGCAATGATCTGTAATAAAATTATATTTGGAACGTGTTTAACAAGTTCTGTCACATATTTGTTAATAACTGACACCAATACTGTACTTAAAATCTATACTCTATATACTACAAATGTCGATGGTATCGATTGCAGTTTTGCTAATAAAATATCCTTTTCTACCAATTATTTGTTATAACTAATTGAATAAAATTGGTTTACTTTGATGTGTTGCTGCTTTATAGTATAGGTGACCGCGGTGTCTCAGTGCGTAAAACACTTACTCACTAGCCTGGAGGTCGTGGTGGACGTTTTCGGCTAGTTACCCCCGCCCCCATCCCCAATGTGATCATTCCGTTCTACTCCACTATACCCCGGGTTAATCCATAGGGTTTCCACAATTTCAAATTATCTGCCCTAGCCTTGATTGTAGCTAAAGTCTACAAACCAGTCGCCTCGCCTTCGTTTTAATAAGGGTAGATAACCATATTCACGTCCATTTACTAAATGATTTATATAAATAATGTATATATTTATAATCCATTTATATTTAATTGTATTATCAAAATCTTTAGTATGTTTCGCCGATTTCAAATATGTATAACACCTATATGCTTGACTTTAGTTATTATTATTCGTTCTTTGTCTGCAATGTTTCATTCTGTTATGTTTATTATTATTATTAAACTTATATACAATAACTTGTCTACATCACGTGGACGTAAAACTCTTAATACCCAAAACCATTAATAACGCAATGCCAAATTCAAAGGCTATTAGCTGCTTTATTTACTTTTAACATATGTACATAATAATTGACAAAATCGAGATAACGAGCAACTGGATAATTTCATGAAAGAATTCACTACAAATGCACAAAACCGAAGCGTCACAGAACCATGAAACAAAGCAGTGGTCAGCTGAAGTCAATATCGCGTATGTCTACCCCGAGCTCTTACACATGCATGAAATCGCCTTGGCATGGATTGGCACAGATGTCTCACTACACGCTGAGAGATTGTTTGCCAATGGTTTTTGAGTGCCTGTGCCAACTCTGCAACAGTTCGTGGTGGCACGGCTTGAGTTCGAACCCGTCGTCCAAGTTCATCCCAAAGGTGTTCGATTGGGTTCATGTCGGGAGACATAGCGGGCCAATCCATAACACGGACATGATTGTTCAGAAAGTCCCTTGTCAACTTGGCAGTGTGGGGTCGGGCGTTGCCATGCTGGAAAACCATCTGTCGACGGACGCCATGTTGAGCTAGCAACGGAAGCGACACAAGACGAAGGATGGCGTCAACATAATGTTGAGCGTTTAGATTGCCTTGGACCACCACCAACTGAGACCGGGAGTTGACAACCCAAGAGCAGCTAGGTAAACTTCGGACTGTTTGAAGGGCTGATCTGACGTTGCCGTGTTCCAACAGTTCCTGTAGCTAACTGGAACCTGTTGCGCAGATGTAGTCGGATGTGGCGATCTTGATTAGCGGTTGTTACAGGTGGCGCTCCAGGTCGGGGTCGATCGGCAACTCTTCAAGTGGCGTGGAAGAGTTGTCCGAGGCGAGCAATGGTCGATGGTGGACATTAAAGTGTCTGCCGACGGCTACCTATAAAACCCCCTGGTCCAGCATGCCAATAGCTCCGTTCCTGTTTTCTTGTGTAAGGCGTGGCATTTTGAAATTATGATGTGCATTTAAAAGGCCAGAGTGCAAAACGTGTGACATGAAACTGCTTAAAATCGTGAAAGTTCATTACCGAGAACTGATATCACAAGTTTCACCTATTTGCCTTAATATAGGAAAGCCCTATATAATGTGTTAATACATACACATTTAGAATAATTTGGACTTCATTTACATTTAATGATCATAGACTACAAGTGACGATACGGATAGTGCGGACCACAAGTTTAGCGAGCATAAATACATCACCAAGTCGCCGTACTCGCATCATTTCTAAATCAGCACAGAAATAGGATAAACCCGATTTTCTCTTGGACAGAAACCTTCCACGCCCCCTCCATAACCAGCACAGGTTACTCCCAACACCCTCATTTCATTTGTAAAAACAGCACAGGAATGTTGGGCGGTAATTACATCATTTTCTACGAGACGAGATACGGGTAACATGAATTTGGTATATACACCTCTTCACCTTCGTTTATGTGCACGACCCCGGGTCCGACAAGGGTTATCGTCTAGTTGGAATGGAAAGAAAAACTGGGGACCCGTGTTAAAATTGCGTGAACGTGAACCACGTTGCGGTTAGAATTTTGAAATTGAATAGGTCGTAGTAGTGCTGTCCGGGGGCAAAATCCCCCCGCCCCATAGCACAGCGTATATTATTCTTTATAATACATCGCTTCCATTTAGAAAGCGCCCCTATGGAACTAGATAAATCGTAGCTCGATAATATGGCCGTATTTTGTAGAACGATGTTAGCAACGACAAACGGTCTCCAGCTACTTTTCGGCAAACTCATTTGTCCTACCTTTTTGAAGCGGGTTTTGTGGGCGCCAAGGTGGCAGTGTGGGCAAGGTTCTTGTCCTTTACCATACGGGTATTGGTTAAAAACAAACCCAAAACGGGCTTTGGTTTAAAAAGTTCCTAGGAACTGTCCCAATGTGGTTCCCAATCCCTTGCAGCGAAGGCCCGATAAGGAACAGAGTTGTTTGGCAAGACCCCCCCCCCCCCTCCCGATTCTTGTACACATGGAGTGAATTTAAAAGCCGTTGGATGTTTAAAGTCAGTTGCTGGCTGGACAGAGGTATAATAGGGACACCCGCAAGGTAGACTCGGATTCTCTATAACACGAATATATTCCTTATATGTAAAAAAAAAAACCCCAAACAAACTGACATTTTATCGTGATATTGTTTATTCAAGGCCTCATCCCCGACTTCATCCCATGCTGAAAAAAAAAATTAGAAAGGATTATATTTCATTAAAGCTGGCTGTAAGGCTAAATATTACCGTTATTCAGAATTTTTACGACTAGTTAAATTTCACGTGACAGAACGAATTGTTTTCGGGCTCTGTCTAGCCTGTAGTTGCAAGTCGTTTGAGGGTGAACATTCGCCGTAACAAGTTCAACTGGGGTCTGCGTAAAACGTTTTTGTAAGCGAGACTTATTAAAACTGGAAATAACGCAATCGATTCACGCTCGCTGGGCTTTTATAAGAAAGCTTCGGATTAGTTTAGCGCTGTATTTTAATCACCCGTAGATGTTGGGCCGAACATTGTAGCAATGACTTATTAGGATATTAACACGATATGCATTTGTAACATTTAATACACAAAAACTTCGCGTAAACTTTACTGACCGCTACACATACCCAATTGACTCCACATAGCTAACTGTTTGCATCACATGGTTTGGCAACCGGCAAGTGACAAATTTCGTCGCTTAAATAGTTTTGCACGTGCTCGATTTATATATGCATTTCAACAGGCCCGTGGCACATGACACCACATTTCCAAATAACTGAACGGCGGACACCAACATATCGGACTACATGAGGTTATGGGTCTACAGAAATGCTGTACACAGATTCGATCCCAGTCATTCTCAAAGAGGAAAATGAAAAATTGGTTCAGAATGCATTGTATGTGTTCCTATGAACATAATTTTGGGTTATTGAAACACACCCAACACCAAGCGAAATATCTAAACATATGAAATATTTGTTAAATGCAAGCCGTCAAACATTAGCCACGTGGCTTGAATTGGGTCATAGGTACTGTTCAGTATGACTGAAATCTACGCGGCGGCTTTATGTACAAGACAATATAATTTCGTATATAATATCCTGATAAACCGTGCCCTAAATCAGATCTTTTGTCGTTATACAGGGGGACTTATTTCCAAATATACTCAGCCAAATTAAAACCTTTTTTCTTCTAGTAAGTCAAATAAATTTTAAAGTGTTTCTAACAGATAAGTAAGAAGCGTTTAATTTCATAAAATTGTAAAGTCACGTGGATCACGTGATCTGAGCATATAAAAATGAAAAACCTGAAAAAAACACGTGCAAACACAAACTCGTGAGGTCAATCGATGCAAGTTTGCTTAAACTTAACACGCACACGTAACTTGAACTGGAAAAAACAAATTAATTTTCATCTTTGTTAGACAATGCCGCGCCTTTCAAATGTAGAACGTCTACGTGCTGTAGGTAGGCTCTATGCTGGCCGGTCTGTGTTCACTGTTGCAAGAGCCTTTAATTGTTCACGCCAGATAATCTTAGAATGAGAGTGCTTCAAACAAGAACTATTGCCGACCGCCCAAGGGCGGGAGCACCACGTCACTCCAGGAAGATCAAGCAATACGATTACGTCATCTTAGAAAGATTTGTCACTGCAACCTCCACAAGTAGAGGTGTTTGGTGGAAGGGTAACTGCACAAACTGTTCGAAATCGCTTGCAGGCTGCTGGTCTTCGAGCTCTGAGGCCCTATAATGGACCAATATTGACACCTCTTCATCGCCGTAACCGACTTGTGGGCCACAAGACGCATAAGATTTACTCAAAGACAGTGGAAATCGTTTGTCTTTAGTGACAAATCTCGATTCACTTCGTACAGCAGACGAGGTGAACGTTACGCTCAAGTATGCGTCAGAGGGTTCTTTTTGTGCACATGGACGTTCTCTTGTTGTCCAAGGGAACTTAAATGCTGTCCAGTACAGGGATCAGATTTTGCAACCCGTTCTTCCGTTTATGCAGAGACATGGGCCTGGACTAACGTTTCAACAAGACAATGCTCGACCCCATAAAGCAATTGGTACCCAGATTTTTTTTTAAGAAATGCCGATGTCCAAGTCCTGGATTGGCCGTCGCTTAGCCCCGACCTTAATCCTATTGAACACATCTGGGACGAAATGGGTCGACGTGTTCGTCAGCAAGTGAATCCACCATTGACGTTGCAGGACCTTCAACATGCTCTTGCTGAGCAGTGGCGACGTCTTCCTCGGGTAGTGTTTACTAATGTTCTGAGATTCATGAACAGACGTTGTGTCGCAGTACGAGACGCTAGTGGAGGCCAAAACCGTTACTAAACACTTTATTCCGGTTGTTCTCCAAGTCTGAATTTCATTTTGGGGGTACTGCGACATCACGAACGTTATCAATGTCAAGGACTTTCGGCGAGACGTATTCTTGCTTTCTGTTGATGTGAAGGTCGATTGTACATACACTAAAATAGTTGTGTTAAACCAAATATTAAAAATCTAGTCCCAAAAATTCCGAGTGTCAAGTTTTTAATTTGGCCGAGTATATTTAACATTTACTGCAACGTTGTTGAAACTTGTTGGTCTTGCCCCTTTTAGGAGATGCTCAGTCCGAGCAACACTAAGTCTAATTTTAATATTCGATAGCGCGTGTCATTTTCAGCCGTGGGAGTAATTAGAAGGGCCCCCCCGAGAAAACCCATAAGCCTTAACTGTCGACCCTATTCCTCGTCTAGTACAGGATTGAAATCAAATGGCACTCGATTCAATCAGCATCTAAAGTTAACGCACCAGAAAACTGGACCATTATACCTCGCCCCGTTAAAAAAAAGTATTAAAGATACTTACTAAATCTTTATCAGCATGTAAATCTTAATGGTGGGAAAGAACCATTTTTACAAACAAGGACTCCTGTTGGAAAAGTTTTTGGGAAGACCGGCTTCCTGCCATTATTACAGCCAAGTTGTATGGTATCGCCTTCTCTATTACCAGTTATACGTACAATACGTGCAGCACCCTGCATAGTCGGCGTTCTGCATCTTTTATCTGTAACTAAAAGGGTTTTTTTTTATTATGCAATGCCCCGATGGAAGTAAATCATCCGAATATACAACGGGCTATTTTGCTAGTATGGGTCTGAACAGCTATTGCATAGCTTTTGGGCATGCCCATGTTCCCCAAGCAGCGACCGCAAGATTTACAATCTGTAGCCGTGGCTAGTTTTGTCCGAAATCCCGAACTTTCTCCCTTTTACTACAGAAAAAAAAAGTCTGAAATGATAAGTTTACAATCATTGGACGGGCAGATTAGATAAAGAGAAGTGGGTTTAACAAGGTCATTTCCGGACTAACATGGTTCGATTTCATTTCAATAATTCGTTTGCGCGTAGAGTCTTTACCAGTGGAAGGTAACCGGAGAAAGTCCACTGGGTTGGACGGGTAACCCTACTCCTTGTCACATAGGACCGAGGAATAGAAACCACACCAGTTGACTCAATGACAGATCTTATTAACGTGCACGTGCCGACAATTCGGTCATCCAGGCCCACCCGCAATAATAAAAAGTAATTAATGTTTGAATAGTAAGTTAAGTGGTTCACCTAATGCTTAAAGCGGAAAAGCCTAGGTGGAAAAATTACAGCAGCTTTGAGTGAAGGAAACGTTCAAGTCGATTATCGCAGCTAGACATTTCAGTCTGAATGTCTAGACATGTTTTCGAAGATATTTTCTATTATGGAATCCTGGGTCCAAAGCTAGGTCCTAGTTAAATCGAAATACCGTTTTCGAGATGCCATAAGTCATTTTCAAAACAAATCTGGTATAATATTTCTATACTGTGTATTATAAAATTGTGTAAGTGATAAAACCTGTCATTTCTAGACAGAAATAGTACAATAATTTAAATTATTTATGTGTAGGGATTTGGCAGTGACGGAAAACTGAAGGACACGGAGAAACACGAGTTCAGACGGGGACGCTACTGGTCCTGTAAAATTGTGCGAGCCGAAACCATACCACCTGCTCTGAAAAGCCTTACGATAAGGCGCGCGCTACACTCGCCCCCCCCCCCTCCACCCGCCATTCTTATATACAACATGACCAATCAGGCCGCCCCTACCCATCAGGCGACACCGACCTACTAGCAGGCACCCCCTCCCCAGGTAAACCCCCGACTCCCCCCCTTACATCTAAACTGTCGTTATTTCATTACTGAAAAGTTGGTCAGAAATAAGATTTACTTACTTGTACAGGTTGGTCTTGTCGACCATTTGTTAGTCAATAAACACTGAACCCTTGCAGAACCGGTCATAGCATATCCAATATTACACTTGTAAATTGCGAAATTCGGGAAATACGTCAGTGTAAATGTTCTGTTACCGTTTGCTATAGCTGGTGGAGTTCCACAAAGTATTCCTTAAAATAGATATTAAATTTATAAAGACGCCATACAATCAACCATGAAACTAGCAACTAGAAAAAAGCGTTCCTATTAAGGACACTGCTGGGATCTTAAACCTTCAGACTTGAACATGTAATGTGAATTTCGCGTTTAAATACCATTTGGTATATAATGTGCTACCAGAAAAGTAGGACATAACCCCATTTCCGTAGGGATTCCTCATTTCCTTAGTGGCACAAAAACGAGGCCCCATTTACATATTGGCATGCAAGGAAAAGACACCCCTGGCAGTTGGAATTAATATAAGAGTAGACCGATAGTACACTGTATAGAGTATGTCCATCTTCATTATCGCATTCCAACTGTTGAGTTATCTTTGACGTTTAGACGAAAGATTATAGGGGTTCCTTGTCGGGCCCTCCCCTTAACACCAACCAGAGAACGACAGAAAAACCCGATGAAGATTTTTGGGCCAACGCAGGGATCGCACACGAGACCTCCAGGTCAGCGAGTCAGTCAAGTCTTAGGAAGTCGCCATGGCTCTCAATTTACGACACATCCAGATCACTCCGTCGAGTCCTTCAGACGTTTGACCGACAATTAGGTCATTTCAAGACTGTGTGGAACTTGACCACATTCCAAATATAAATTTATCGCGGATCTTGGTTACGGTTGATCGGGAACAAAGATTTGCAGAAACGAAAAGTGATGCAAAGAAAACCGAGTTATTGTTTACATAAAATATATACTGACTGGAGCCGAGATCATAACAGATACGTCCATTTTTTTTTAGGGATAAAAATATTTTAAAAACTCACTTCACATTTTAAGCAAAATTATATTTTAATCCAATCTGATTAAAACATCCTATTTAGTTTCGTTTTTATAGTTCAAAATTTTGTTTTTACTTGTCTTTACAACACTAAGATTGGTATTGATATGTTCTTATTGGCGTGATGGATTAGCCAATAAAACTGTTACGGCGAGCTGAAGGCGGGTTTTGCACGGAACTGGGTAATCCATTAGCAACATCAATGCCGATTAATAAATCAAATGTCAGACGTCATAGGGTCAAAAGCCGCTCGTATGACCTCTGAAGCGACCTATCGCTACAACCGGTCCGATCTACATCTAGTGTAGGGTCATGGAAAGTATAAAAAAACGAAAAAGATTTTGTATTTCAATCCGGTAGGCCTTTAATTAACCGAAGTCGTTATTTCGACAAATATGTTTCCGGCAGGTGGATCACAAATCTGATTCGATGTTATATAACGGAAATTAGGCGATCTTTATGAATTAAGGCATTCATTCAACCTATTAAACGTTCTCAGTTCACTGAACTGAATGTGAAATCCGCCGTTTCCAGTAACTAAGTGGACATTCATTAGAGAATGAAAATACTGGGGTGTAAGGGGCGTTTTGGAAGTAGTAAGCGTTTCCCGCTTCTTACAGATCGACCACTACTTAAATCAGATGCCGATATCACGAGTTATTCCTGCAAACCAAGATATGAAATGTCACATCGCAATCTGAACGATAGACTCACCCTACCTGCAGAGAAGTGACTGACACGGTGAATAGCCCGATATCCATATGACGTTTAAACGTCACAGGTCATGAGGTCACCTCAAACGTAAACATTATGATCTTATCAACATTACAAGACACAATGTTACATTGTAAACAAAGCCTTCTCGCAGCCTTTAGGACTGTATAATCCTTACAGAACGCCTTATCGCTTCTTCCAATGATTCCAATGATTTAACAAAAATAACATCTACAACTCTAGATTTGACGTCGGCATATTTGCACTTCGGTCGTGTCTATTTCAGATAAATTAATTTTTAGCGTGGGGATTGACTAAAAATTAATTTCAGTTCAAATTTAAAACTTTAACACATTTTAAAAAAAAAAAAATAGCCAAATTCTTGCTGGGATTACCGAGCAAAATGGCCATTCACTGTAAACGTGCGAAAAAAGCCAGCTACCATTTAATTTTCGTACGTTAGTTACGTACGGTCACATCGAAGAAAATTACAAAGGGTTAAAATCAGCCCTAAAATTCAATCTGAATAGGCAATTTGTTGTGACGGCAAAAGATAGTGACGCAGAATTACTATATTGAATATACGTGGTTTAGCCTGTAGAATTTACAATTCAATCGACTGTAAAACCAGAAAGCATATAACTATACGGTTACAAATATGAAACCAGCCGCTGCCAGACGGGATAAGCCCATATTTTCGAGAGATGGATAGAGAAGTGATTTTTCCTACAATCAAGGGCCATAATTCAGGAAATTACAATTTGATATGAGCAAATATCGAAAGGAACCAAGATCTTTGGGTTATAAAACTTACTTTCAAGTTTCAACAAAATCGGATAACAATTGTGACCTCTATAGGGTCCACAACCTTGATATACCATATTTTTACGCTATTCGAGAACGAAGTGCCGCGATTCGTCCGTCAGTTTTGGGCCGATTTTCACGAAATTCGAACTCAGCTGTCCTTGGGTGTAACGGCGAGACGTTTTTTTAAAAAAAAAATCTGATAAAAATTATGACCTCTAGGGTCCACAAGCTAAAAACGATTCATGAAGTTATAAATTACGGTCCGATATGCGCGAACATCGAAAGAAACATCTTTGGGTTATAAACTTACACTTCAAGTTTCAACAAAATCGGATAAAAATTATGACCTCTATAGGGTCCACAAGCTAAAAACGCGATTTTTCGTAAAATCAGGGGCCATAATTCAGGAAGTTACGGTCCGATATGCGGGAATATCGAAAGGAACCGAGATCTTTGGTTATAAATTTACATATCAAGTTTCAACAAAATCGGATAAAAATTGTGACCTCTAGGGTCCACAACCTTGATACCATATTTTAACGCTATTTGAGAACGTACGGCGGCCATTTTGTCTGTCAATTTTTACGAAATTTGAACTCGGGTCGTCCTTGACGATATAATACCGTTTTTCAAATCGGATAAAAATTGTGACCTCTATAGGGTCCACAAGCCAAAAACGCGATTTTTTGTACAATCGGGGCCATAATTCAGGAAGTTACGGTCTGATATGCGGGAATATCGAAAGGAATTGAGATTTTTATGTTATAAACACAATTCAAGTTTCAACAAAAATTGTGTTCTCTAAGGGTCCACGAGCTAAAAACGTGATTTTTCGTACAAACAGTGGCCATAATCCATTAAGTTTGGATCAGATAAATGCCAATATCGAAAGCAGACGAGTTCTTTGATAAACTTATATTTCAAGTTTCGTCAAAATCTGATAATTGTGACCTGTAGAGTGTCCACAAACAAATTGTGGACGGACAGAGGCGATGATATGTTTCTATAGTAGCACAATATTCATTAGTAATTGGGCCATGCATTAAACAGTAGGTTTAAGGAGACCTAATAAAAGCAGCCTTGTAAAACAAGGAACCAGCGGCTGCCAGGCAGGATACGCCCACATTCGAGAGATGGAGAGAGAACAAGCTAAAAAGAAAGTGATTTTTCCTACAATTAAGGGCCATTGTAAAGAGGGGGAACTAAATTCTCCTCGCCACACATTCATCCAAATTTGGATGGTATCGATGGTATATTTTCCTATTGTTAACAAACCAGCGGTTGCCAGTCAAGATACGCCTGCATTCGGCAAGAGACGAAGTAAAAAGGCGATTTTTCGTAGAATCTGGGCCATAAATCCAGAAATATGGAAAGGAATTGAAATCTTTGGGATAAACTTAAGTTATCAAAATGAAATAAAAATTGTACGTTGTCTAGGTCAAAACAAGCGGCTATTTTGTTGGGCCGATTCGTTTCTATTTCTCCTAAATTCGAATTTTTCGTACAATCCGGGGTCATCTATGAAGTTACTGTCCGATATGCGCAAATAGCGAAAGGAACAGATTTTTGGTATGGCACTCTTTTACTCTATTTTGCGTACAAGGAGCCGCCATTTTGTCACAGTTTGTGCGATTTTTTACGAAAATTGAACCTCAACCGTCATTAGGGTATAATGGCGATACATTTAAACGTTTTTAAATCGGATAATAGTTACTCCTTTCGAATTTACAAGCGAAAATACTTTTACTTTTCGTAAAATCAGGCTCATAATTCAGGAAGGAACCAAGATCTTTAGGAGACATCTTTAGTTTCGTCAATCTAATAAAAACAAATTTTACCTGTAAAGTGTCCACAAAATGAAACAGAGGTACGAATACATGATGGACGCTGGCGGTGACGACTATACGTCCACATGAAAATGTGGGCGTATAAAAACGGTATACATAATTTGATACATCTTTATTTAATATGAATCGCCCTCGAATACATACATTTTAAAGACATTCAGCACCATAGCGTAAGGACATGTAAACACATAACAAAAATATTATTCCATAGAATTTTTTAACGGTTTTCTGTATTCCATAAAATACTTACGTCCACAAGTTGGTAATCTACCCCATTTACCAGTTGATAAACATGCCACATTCCGATTTCCCACAATTCTAAACGCGTAATTACAACCATAGACGACGGTACTACCATAAGTAGTTTTTGTATATCTCTTGATTCCATTCCTCATATTTGGTGGAATTCCACAATTCTTTACTGTGAAAAAAAAAATACATTTATATACACGCAAAGAAACATCCATGCCAGACAGGTCTACATTATGGAAGGGATGAACAGGAGCTATAAATGCTACTTCGAATAAAAGGCCACAACCTAGGAAGTTACGGTCTGATATCGAAAGGAATGGAGATCGGATTATAAATCCATTTTAAGTTTCAAAATCGGATAAAAAAATTTATCCTGTAGAGAACAAAACGTGAACGGACGTCCGGAACCGCGGAAACGCACATAGGGCGTCTACAATATACGTCCAAATCTGTATACTTCAGAATTAAAACAAAAAAGTGGTAATTATTACTAAAATAGATTTTAACCTTGTTAAATTGAAATTTGCGTTTCAGGACAATTGAAATCGAGTTTATTTAAAATTGATTGCACCTGCGCAGTCCCGTTTATGTCGGGAGGCATACGCTTAGGAACCGACTGTTACAGATCTATGGGAGCGTTTCATACGTTGTATAGCAATATTTGCACATGTCAGACTGTCGTAGAAGATATGGAATAAATTAGTTAAATGCGTATTATTCGTTTCGAAATGTACCCGTGGGCTGGCCTTTGAACGTTGCATTTTGAATAACTCAAAAGCTTCAATGGAAATAATGCGTATTAAGTAAAATAAGTTCAATTTCGTAGTTCTTGTATTTTTGGATATGTAGAATTACTTAACACATGTGGACGAGTTTCGGGAATTTATAAACAAGATTAACGGAGCATGGTCCGACTCAGACTACATATTTTGTCTCTTTCAATCGAATCCAAGTAGCCAATGTTCCGGTGCCTACATTTGAAACGTCATCCCCTATACCTTTCCAATGATAAATACCAAAAGTGCCATCCTCATTGACATAATGCACTTACTCAAAATGATACACCTCCGGATAAAAATATTGCCCCAAAACCACACGAGTAAATACTTTGCATATGGTCCTTCCAATACGAAATCTGCCATTTTTAACCAATGTACAGTGCTTTTCCATGACATTAGATAGTCAGTCGGTTCAGATTTGGTTGAATCTGTCGTTATATTTCAATATATAAAATTTGGTAAAGATACAATATGGACGACTGTATCAAGAACTGACCGTTATCACTATAATAAGTCAACCAGCGGTTTCTTCAAAGTTACAAAATTGTGACTTCTAAACCTTGATATACCATATATTTACACTATTTGCGTACGAGGAGCGACCATTTTGTCCGGCAGTTTTGGTCCGATTTTCACATCGGATAATCATGAACTCTAGAGGGAACACAAGCCAAAAACGCGATTTTCGTACAATCCGGGGCAATAATTCAGGAATCCCATACCCCCAAATATCGAAAGGAACCAAGATCTTTGAGGGCGACGACAATAAACGTCCATATTAAAATTTCAGACAAATTCCTTCACTCTAGCCGAGAAGAACCTTTTTTTAAAATCTCGTAGCCTTGATTTCATGGTTACCGCAGTCATCGTAATTAAAGTCTCGATTATCTATTTTTGCGTTTAATCATTATGGACGTTCAACAGCAGATCGATTCAAAATCTAATGAAAATCTGGCATCTACATGTAGTATTTATTATGCCCTTTTCATTTTAACAATGTCTAATAGTTTGCCTATGGCAGGTCTTAGGCCTAAATAAAAAAAATTGCCTCTTTGCAAAATCCATGTTTGATAAAGGGTTAGGTTGGGTGTCCCAAGTTAAATGATTTTAGTTACACATTATGCAAGAGAAATTTGTCCATTGTAGGTCTTCAGGCCCAATTGGATATTTATTAACATTTCAAGACCATAATCAACTCTCGATGCCATCGTTTGCTCCGAATTCGAATCCATCTGCCATTCAGTTATGATAACTGAAAAACTGGATACGAGACGGTTAAATATGTAACAGTAGTAGTAATCGAGGCGATCTAAATTTGAATCATCTAGGTTTAGAAGTTAGTGTTGTAATCAAGAACCCGACATAAGACCCAATACTGTCACAATGGGATCTCGAGGTTAGCAAGCCAGCGTTGATAAAACAAATGTAAATCAGACTCACTGACACAGGTTGGTCTGGGCGCCCATTGTCTCGTAGATAAGCACCGAACCGCTCCAGATCCTCTCATATTATATCCAACATTACACCTGTATGTTGCGGCATTCGGGAAATACGTTCGTACAACAGTTCTAGCTCCGTTTGCAATATATGGCGGGGTTCCACAGTTAGCTTAAAAAGATAAGTTCCTGAATATACCAACCACATCTATAATAGGCTATAGAAAAATCCTTTCCAAGACAAATGTGGGGAGTTTTAAGGGGGTACAAGACAGCAATAATGTAAAGTTTGATCTACATTAAATTTATCCAGTTAGCCTACTTTTAAAAAACCCCCAGCTAATGCCAGACACGCGTTTTCGAAGTACAGTAGATGCGGTATCTCATGGGCGTTTTTTATTTTTGGAAGCAACGTGTTTTTAAAAGGCGCAGATTTTAAAATGGCCTTATAGAACCTATGCATTCGGGTACATCTATCTACAATAAAATTTAGAACGCCACCTCACCGACCGAGGCCAATGCCGACCGGCATCCTCCATTCAGTATGCCACTCAAGGGGTAAACTTAGCCGAACAGCAGGGCTACGGCCTACATCGAATTTATACTGCCTAGGGATTTTTTTTATGTGCACGCGAATGTATCCACGGGACCTTGATTTTCAGTCCCATCCGAACGACTACGTCGTAAGGCCCAACTTTCCGGCAGTGCCGACAAGGAGACCACGCCGGAATAATCCGGCTTGAACTTTCTCGGGCAATGCAATGAAGTTTAACGACCTACTGTTCTGCTCCGAACTGGGCCACTGAAAACGGTCTGCCAATGCAGGGATCGAACATGGGACCTCCAAGTTAGCTAGTCAGCGTTGATTAGACCAATGTAAAATCACACTCACCGACACAAGTTGGTCTGGCCGCCCATCGTCCCGTTGATAAGCACCGAACCACTCATATCCAGCATTACACCCGTGTGTTGCGGCATTGGTGTAATAGGTTCGTACAGCGGTTCTAGCTCCGTTTCCAAGTGGCGGAGGTTCCAGTTCTTAGCTCATGTTACGAAGGTAAACTTTGGCCTAACAGCAGCGCTACGGCCTACATCGAATTTATACTGCCAAGGGAATTTGTTTTTACGTGTACGCGAATGTGTACGCCAAGAGATTTTTTTTTTTAGGGCACGCGAATGTAAACACGGGACCTTTAATTTTCGTCCCATCCGAACGACTCTTTACGTTGCCAGGCCCTCTTTCCGGCAGTGCCGACACGGAGACTACGCCGGAATAATCCCGATGAATTCTCTCGGCCAATGCAGGCATCGAACATGGACCTCTAGGTTAGCAAGCATTCGTCTACGAATAGACGAATGTAAATCAGACTCACCGGCACAGGTTGGTCTGGCCGCCCATCGCCCCGTAGATAAGCACCGAACCACTCCAGATCCTACCATTGTATATCCAGCATTACACCTGTATGCTGCGGCATTCGGGAAATACGTTCGTACAGCGGTAAAAGCTCCGTTTCCAATAAGTGGCGGCTTTCCACAGTTTTTAGCTTAAAAAAGAAAAGTTCGTGAATATACCAACCACAGTTATATAGGCTATGTGAACACCTTTTCCAAGACAACGTTTCCCCAAACATCCGACACGGGGAGTTTTAAGGGGGTACAGGACAGCAAGATTGTAAAGTTCAGTTAGCCTACTTTTAAAAAAAAAAAAAAATGAGTTAATGCCACATTTATTGTTCACACGTTTTCGGGGGTAAAGTAGATGCGGCAATTTCATGGACGTTTTATTTTTGGAAGCAAGGATTTTTAAAATGGCGCAGATTTTAAAATAGCCTTATAGAATCTACGCATTCGGGTACGTCTATCTACAATAAAATTTAGAACGCCACCTCACCGACTGAGGCTAATGCAGACCGGCATCCTCCATCCAGTATGCTACTGAAGGGGTAAACTTTACCCGAACAGCAGGGCTACGGCCTACATCGAATTTATATTGCCAAGGGATTTTTTTTTTTATGTGCACGCGAATGTAAACACGGGACCTTGATTTTTCGTCCCATCCGAACGACTACGTTGCCAGGCCCCCATTTCCGGCAGTGTCAATGAGACCTCGCCGGAATAATCCGGATGAAATATCTCGGCCAATGCAATGAGGTTTAACGACCTACTGTTCTGCTCCGAACTGGGCTAATGAAAATGGTCGGCCAATGCAGGGATCGAACATGAGATCTCCAAGTTAGCTAGTCAGCGTCGTTTAGACCAATGTAAAATCAGACTCACCGACACAAGTTGGTCTGGCCGCCCATCGTCCCGTTGATGATGCACCGAACCACTCATATCCAGCATTACACCTGTATGTTGCGGTATTAGGTTCGTACAGCCGTTCTACCTCCGTTTCCAAGTGGCGGGCGTTCCACAGTTCTTTCGTCCCATCCGGATGACTCGCGTTGCCCCATGGTGGCAGTCTTTGCGGCAGTGCCGACAAAGAGACCACGCCGGAGCAGCGATGAACTATCTCGGCCGTGATTGGTAATCAATTCAACGAGTAAAACTTATTTAGATGAAATTTCTCGGTCAATGCAGGGATCGAACATGTGTTACATAGCGACAGGTGTTATAGACGCTTCGTGCCATTTTGACACGAAAAAGTGATTTTAACGAATACAAACGAATGACAGACGGGGCTAGTCGGGGCGTCTAGAAGTTAACTTGGGACCAGGCAGGTCCGAGTCGAAGATCCGACATGCAAGTTAGTGGGGAGTTGGCACAATCGTGCCGTGCAAGCCAAGCTAGGACCAAGGCTCCCTCAAAACAGCTAATTACGGAGTCTAAGTTTTGTACATAATGTTAGAATAAAAGTATCATAGTATCATATGAAGTTAAAGTGTTGTAATCAAGACCCAATACTGTCACAATGGGATCTCGAGGTTAGCAAGCCAGCGTTGATTAGACCAATGTAAATCAGACTCACCGACACAAACTGGTATGGGCGCCCATCGTCTCGTAGATAAGCACCGAACCACTCCAGATCCTCTCATATTATAGCCAGCATTACACCTGTATGTTGCGGCATTCGGGAAATACGTTCGTACAGCACTTCTAGCTCCGTTTGCAATATTTGGCGGGGTTCCACAGTTAGCTTAAAAAGATAAGTTCCTGAATATACCAACCACATCTATAAAGATGATAGAAACATCCTTTCCAAGACAGTTTCCCCCCGAACAGCTGATGTGGGGAGTTTTAAGGGGGTACAAGACAGCAATATTGTAAAGTTGATCTACATTAAATTTATCCAGTTAGCCTACTTTAAAAAAAAAACCCAGCTAATGCCAGACACGCGTTTTCGAAGTACAGTAGATGCGGTAATTCATGGGTGTTTTATTTTTGGCGCAGATTTTAAAATGGCCTTATAGAATCTACGCATTCGGGTACGTCTATCTACAATAAAATTTAGAACGCCACCTCACCGACTGAGGCTGAAAGGGTAAACTTAGCCGAACAGCAGGGCTACGGCCTACATCGAATTTATACTGCCAAGGGATTTTTTTTTATGTGCACGCGAATGTAAAGACGGGACCTTGATTTTTAGTCCCATCCGAACGACTACGCTGCCAGGCCCCCTTTCCGGCAGTGCCGACAAGGATACCACGCCGGAACAATCCGGATGAACTTTCTCGGCCAAGGCAATTAAGTTTAACGACCTACTGTTATGCTCCGAACTGGGCCAATGAAAACGGCCGGCCAATGCAGGGATCGAACATGGGATCTCCAAGTTAGCTAGTCGGCGTTGATTAGACCAATGTAAAATCAGACTCGCCGACACAAGTTGGTCTGGCCGCCCATCGTCCCGTTGATAAGCACCGAACCACTCATTATATCCAGCATTACACCCGTGTGTTGCGGCATTGGTGCAATAGGTTCGTACAGCGGTTCTAGCTCCGTTTCCAAGTGGCGGGGTTCCAGTTCTTAGCTCGTGTTACGAAGGTAAACTTTGTCCTAACAGCAGGCGCTACGGCCTACATGAATTTATACTGCCAAGGGATTGTTTTTACGTGCACGCGAATGTAAACACAGGACCTTGATATTTCGTCCCATCCGAACGACTCTTTACGTTGCCAGGCCCTCTTTCCGGCAGTGCCGACACGGAGACTACGCCGGAATAATCCCGATGAATTTTCTCGGCCAATGCAGGGATCGAACATAGGACCTCTAGGTTAGCAAGCCATCGTCTACGATTAGACGTATGTAAATCAGACTCACCGGCACAGGTTGGTCTGGCCGCCCATCGCCCCGTAGATAAGCACCGAACCACACCAGATCCTATCATTGCATATCCAGCATTACACCTGTATGCTGCGGCATTCGGGAAATATGTTCGTACAGCGGTTCTAGCTCCGTTTCCAATAAGTGGCGGGGTTCCACAGTTTTTAGCTTAAAGAAAAGTTCGTGAATATACCAACCACATTTATATATATATATATATAGGCTATGGAAACACCTTTTCCAAGACAACGTTTCCCCAAACATCTGACACGGGGAGTTTTAAGGGGGTACAGGACAGCAAGATAGACGAATGTAAATCAGACTCACCGGCACAGGTTGGTCTGGCCGCCCATCGCCCCGTAGATAAGCACCGAACCACTCCAGATCCTACCATTGTATATCCAGCATTACACCTGTATGCTGCGGCATTCGGGAAATACGTTCGTACAGCGGTAAAAGCTCCGTTTCCAATAAGTGGCGGCTTTCCACAGTCTTTAGCTTAAAAAAGAAAAGTTCGTGAATATACCAACCACAGTTATATAGGCTATGTGAACACCTTTTCCAAGACAACGTTTCCCCAAACATCCGACACGGGGAGTTTTAAGGGGGTACAGGACGGCAAGATTGTAAAGTTCACTTATTTATTCAGTTAGCCTACTTTTAAAAAAAATGAGTTAATGCCACATTTATTGTTCACACACTCGTTTTCGGGGGTAAAGTAGATGCGGCAATTTCATGGGCGTTTTATTTTTGGAAGCAAGGAGTTTTTAAAATGGCGCAGATTTTAAAATAGCCTTATAGAATCTACGCATTCGGGTACGTCTATCTACAATAAAATTTAGAACGCCACCTCACCGACTGAGGCTAATGCCGACCGGAATCCTCCATCCAGTATGCTACTGAAGGGGTAAACTTTACCCGAACAGCAGGGCTACGGCCTACATCGAATTTATATTGCCAAGGAATTTTTTTTTTATGTGCACGCGAATGTAAACATGGGACCTTGATTTTTCGTCCCATCCGAACGACTACGTTGCCAGGCCCCATATCCGGCAGTGTCAACAATGAGACCACGCCGGAATAATCCGGCTTGAACTTTCTCGGCCAATGCAATGAGGTTTAACGACCTACTGTTCTGCTCCGAACTGGTCTAATGAAAATGGTCGGCCAATGCAGGGATCGAACATGAGATCTCCAAGTTAGCTAGTCAGCGTTGTTTAGACCAATGTAAAATCAGACTCACCGACACAAGTTGGTCTGGCCGCCCATCGCCCGGTAGATAAGCACCGAACCACTCCAGATCCTCTCATATTATATCCAGCATTACACCTGTATGTTGCGGCATTCGGGAAATACGTTCGTACAGCGGTAAAAGCTCCGTTTCCAATAAGTGGCGGCCTTCCACAGTTTTTAGCTTAAAAAGAAAAGTTCGTGAATATACCAACCACATTTATATACAGGCTATGGAAACACCTTTTCCAAGACAACGTTTCCCCAAACATCTGACACGGGGAGTTTTAAGGGGGTACAGGACAGCAAGATTGTAAAGTTCAGTTATTAATCTAGTTAGCCTACTTTAAAAAAAAAAAAAAAAGTCTAATGCCACATTTATGGTACACTCGTTTTCGGGGGTAAAGTAGATGCGGCAATTTCATGGCCGTTTATTTTTGGAAGTAACGCGTTTTTAACATGGCGCAGATTTTAAAATGGCCTTACAGAACCTACGCATTCGGGTACGTATATCTACAATAAAATTTAGAACGCCACCTCACCGACCGAGGCTAATGCCGACCGGCATCCTCCATTCAATATGCTACTGAAGGGGTAAACTTTACCCGAACAGCAGGGCTACGGCCTACATCGAATTTATACTGCCAAGGGATTTTTTTTTTTTATGTGCACGCGAATGTAAACACGGGACCTTGATTTTTAGTCCCATCCGAACGACTACGTTGCCAAGCCCCATTTCCGGAAGTGCCAACAAGACCACGCCGGAATAATCCGGATGAACTTTCTCGGCCAATGCAATTAAGTTTAACGACCTACTGTTTTGCTCCGAATTGGGTTAATGGAAACGGTCGGTCAATGCAGGGATCGAACATTGAGATCTCCAAGATAGTCAGCGTTGATTATAGGCCAATGTAAAATCAGACTCACCGACAAAAGTTGGTCTGGCCGCCCATCATCCCGTTGATAAGCACCGAACAATATCCAGCATTACACCTGTATGTTGTGGCATTGGGGTAATAAGTTCGAACAGCGGTTCTAGCTCCGTTTCCAAGTGGCGGCGTTCCAGTTCTAAGCTTATGCAACGAAGGTAAACTTTAGCCTAAGAGCAGCGCTACGGCCTACATCGAATTTATACCGCCAAGAGATTTTACGTTGCCAGGCCTTCTTTCCGGCAGTTCTACGGCCTACATCGAATTTATACTGCCAAGAGATTTTTTTTTCGTGCACGCGAATGTAAACACCGGACCTTGATTTTTCGTCCCATCCTTACGACTATGTTGCCAGGCCCCATTTCCGACAGTGCCGACACGGAGACTACGCCGGAATAATCTCGATGAACTTTCTCGGTCAATGCAGGGATCGAACATAGGACCTCTAGGTTAGCAAGCCATAGGCGAATGCAAATCAACTCACCGGCACAGGTTGGTCTGGCCGACCATAGTCCCGTTGATAAGCACCGAACCACTCCAGATCCGATCATATTATATCCAGCATTACACCTGTATGCTGCGGCATTCGGGAAATATGTTCGTACAGCGGTTCTAGCTCCGTTTCCAATAAGTGGCGGGGTTCCACAGTTTTTAGCTTAAAGAAAAGTTCGTGAATATACCAACCACATTTATATATATATATAGGCTATGGAAACACCTTTTCCAAGACAACGTTTCCCCAAACATCTGACACGGGGAGTTTTAAGGGGGTACAGGACAGCAAGATTGTAAAGTTCAGTTATCCAGTTAACCTACTTTTATATAAAAAAAAAAAATGAGCCAATGTCACATTTATGGTCCACAATTGTTTTCCGGGGTAAAGTAGATGCGCCAATTTCATGGGCGTTTTATTTTTGGAAGCAACGCGTTTTTAAAATGGTGTTTTAAAAAATGGCCTTGTAGAACCTATGGATTCTTTGGGTACGTTTATGTACAGTACAATAGAATGATACGACGCCTCTTCATCAACTGGGTTTACATGAAGACGGGCATACAACACGGGGGACATTTTACACAGACATTGACTAATCTTGTAATTCCAACTGTCGCCCCCCCCCCCCCATTTTATGTGACGCCAATGAGAACTCCTATTAATCCCGTTCGAAATATTAGACAGATGCCCAATAAAACTGACAATCCAGAGGAACGTTCTTGCCAAACGCCAGTAACAGGATTTCACCAGGTTAGCGAGCCGTAGTCTCACTGAGCTACCGCGACAGTGTACGAAACATCAAAATGTTTTGGCGATCCAGGTTTTCGCCAAGGTAAAGTTGATAGATCTGAATACAACCAGTTCACACTTACCAGTACAAGTAATTTTTGGCACAGTCCACATTCCATCCGGTCCACAAGCCGACACTCCAGTAAATAATTTGTTAAAGCCCGGGTTACAGATGAACGTACAGACAGATTTGTACTTATAACCTCCTACACAGGTACCTCTTTTACCGTTGATTATTGCGAATACGGGGGGTCCATTACATACGGTGTCACATGACGACTAAAAAAAAAATACCACGCATTATACATATCCGACCCTAACGACAGACACTAATTGCCCGGTTCTTCGTGCTGACAAGCGGATTTCAGAACACAAGTCTAAAGCCAAAACTAATGTATCCGCAATAGCAGAACATATCAGCAAGAACCAGGGCCACGAACCAGACTGGAAGAATGTCCAAACCTTAGCCATGCATAAACACCAAAAGAAAAACAGGAAAATCATAGAAGCTATCCAAATCAAACGCCACAGCCCAGAACCGAATAGAGATACAGGTTTATACATACCAAAGGTCTATGATGAACTAATTAAGATGGAGAAATAATTGTCAATTGGCCCATAGTTTTCCTATTTCGTTTCTTTTGGACATTTCTAGTTATATAACCTAATTTCAATCACATTGTTTTCTTTTGTTTGTTCCTTTTGGTCATTTCTAGTTATTATAAAACCAAACTCCATCGTATTGCTTTCTACCCTCCACCCCCTCCCGTTTATAACTTGATAATTCAAGAATAATCTTGATAGCCTTGGAAAATAATCGAGAGAAACTGGTTTTTACAATCGCGTAAACAGAACGGTGGATCGAGATAGGAAAGTGGAAAAATAACCAATTATTGTGCTGGCAGTTATAAAACCGTGCTTTCAAAACGGAATACGCGAGAACCAACAATGGACTTATTCAAAAAATGTCTTTCTGCATATTATCTCGACAAATTGTCCACTTGTGGATACACGCCTTCCCACAATGCACTGAAAACAACGTTCAAGCATAGATACATATTAAACGTTTGAGGAAATAAACAGTATTAAGCGAATAATACGTTTAGTTCCATCGATATCTTCAGGTTTTAAATACACATTAGACGCATAATAACAGTTTCTTTAACATTTTAATAAAGATTAGACCCAACAATTTTATATAATTGGTTTCAACGCTTGGTTAAAAATACTGCAAATAAGTTAATGTCTAAAAATACGAACCCCACCACAGTTTGTGCATAATGTTACATTACATTCAACCGATAGACTCTTACTGTCATCTAAATGATAGCCTTCAAAATAGGGGCTACGAAAAGTTTTTCCGGAAGTTATAAAGCCATCCTGTTTCCTGAATACCAATCCATCGCCACATCTGTAAAAAAATAGGGGAGCATCAACACTGGAGTAAGGAATGTGACGTTATGAACTACGGCATACGAGAAAATTGTGGCCAGTGTGGAGAGGGGAGGACTGAGTAGATAATAGTACAACTCTTTTCTTAAGTACGACATGCGCAAAGGCTATTTAATGTGTGGAAGGACAACTTTGCATGGAAAGTTTTAAATGATTTAGTTTTAAAAAACTGTTTTTACATGTAACTTTTCAATACAATTATAATGTATGAATAAATGTCTAGAAGTTTTCTAGAGGAAAAAAAATGCCGCTCCTAACTGTATAGTTAATAAAGGCAGATAAAAAAAATCTAAAGCCGACTGTAACCAAAAGGCCAAATATTTGTTAAAGAGTCGTCAAACTTTTACGGCTTAATGTGCACACTATTTTACGTGCGATGGCTATTTAAAGCCAAATATAAACGCAACGGGACCATTCTATATCCTGTAATCAATTTTGGGCCGTCATTTACAACTACGCATTCGATGTGACGAGTTCAACTGCAACAAATGTGGAAACTTAAAAATTTAAGGCAGACTTACCCAGCTCGCAATATAGCATAACGTTTTCCACTACTAGACACAGCATCACAGTGAACTGGTTTCAACCCTACACCTTTACCTAAAATAGTTAATTTTAGAAACAATTTCGTTGGGTCATACATAAACATCCTAAGTGCCAAATTTTACGAAAACTTTTTCTCGTTTTCCGAATACCTATATCCACCTTTTTGGGTTAAGAATTTCTCAGAGATATAGCCATAAATGGAGTATTTAATGAAGGCGGTCGTCGCAGATGATCATTTGAAAATCACTTAAAGCGTCTCCCACTCTCCAATCACACCTTAGTCAATTCCAGTGCTGGTAAAGCAGAAAAACAAGGTTTTTGCACTAAACTAATCGAGTGAATATTAAATTTCATTCAGGAAAAACATCGCGATTTTCGACGGAATGAGTGGACGGAATGGGTGTAAATAACTAATTCCAAAACAGTACTGTACACTGTCCGTTGGCAGGCTCTCTCCTCCCTCACTGACAAGGCGGAACTATACGAGAATATCGTCACTTAACATTATATAGCCCTGAAAAGTACATATTCGCCCCCCCCCCCCAATACCCAATTCGATTGTGACCATAATGTAACGCCGATTTACCCCCGCCCATCATTAAAACAAATTGACTTACTGGGACCATTGTATATTCCATATATAGTATACTTTCTATCTATATTCATATCGCCTTTAACATCATCATTATGAACATCTTGAATACTCAATTTTAATTGGCTGCTGGGTACAGTAGATCCTATGATTGTACCAAGTTCGCGAGGTGCTATGAAGCTGAAAACAAAATCCCAGTTTCACAATAGTTTTAAAACTGGATGAAACTGTTCAAAATAAAATAGGGTTTAACGTCTGGGGGTGGGTGGAATGGTTAGCGCGTGCGCGTTGTATGTATCCTAAGGTTATGCCCTCGAGTCAACTGGCGTGGTCTCCATTCTCCGGCAAGTAGGGTTGCCCGTGCAAACTCATTGGGTTTCCTCCGGGTCCCCCCCCCACTGCTAAAGACCCCTAAGCGCAAGCGAATTATTGAAATTGAATCCGTTTATCCCGAAATTACCTAGTTGGCGTCAGTAGGCTTTAAACCCATTTCTCTAGTCCGACTGGGCTAATGAAGACGCATATTGAAAACGGTTTGCTCTGGGGGACAATATTGCACGAACAGCGGCGTACGGTCTACTAGCCAATGCCAACTGCCAAGGGATTTTACGTGCACGTCAATGTACGATGTTTACAAGGCTGCCATCTGGGATGAAACGGTTGTCAAGTATAGCAACTAATTTAAAAATATTTGACCATGTTAGTTGTCTTATTCTAGCCATTAATTCTTAGTTTTGCGTTTTCGGGGGGGGGGGGGGATTGTCATTGCACTGAATGTTTAAATGACATAATATAACCTACTTGTCAAGAACATTATGTTGAGGCGAGGCATGTTTTCCATATTGATCATATGTACAAACTACTGTCGTTATTTTATCTTTGGTTAAAATCAAACTACCAACTTCACCATATCTTACTAACACGTCTACAGAATATGTATACGATCCAGTACGTTGCTGTAAAATACATCGCATGTGTAATAAAAACTACCAACTTCAACCATAAAATAATAAAATGTAATATACTCTTCAAAAAAAAAAACGTAGGGGATATCCAGAATACAAAACTGCACTGCCGTTTTTTTTTTGTTTTTTTATTAGAGGTAACCAGTGTATGTGTTAATCCAAACTGTCAAAAGTGAAAATGGACGTTTTTGATTTGTCTCAATTGAGTAATTGCTCCACCAATCCTCAAGACATTCAGCAATTCGCCGTGGCATGCTCCTAATCAACCGTCCAATCACGGTTTGGGGCAATCGGACCCACTCTTGCAGTACCACGGCCAATTTTTGCAGAATTGTCGCTTGACATTGACGAACACGTCTCCCAAACGTAACACTAAAGCAAAAATACGAAGATTGTTTAGTGGGAAAATTGTCCACATGCGTTCAGATTCTAACCGGAAGGTGGCGTGTCCATCTAGTCTATTTCGAATTTGAATGTCAAGACCTCCAACGTGTACATGGAAACGGACTAGCCGAATAAAACATAATTAAGTTACTTACATGCCATCTACAGGTTTTTTTAGCTGAAGTTAAAGTACCAGGGAGGGTGTAATGAACTTTATCTGTCGTTGTAAAAGTCTGATCACCACCATAGCAACGCGCTCGAGCGGATATAGCCACATCCGTTAATATATTCACAACTGGGTTGTTTACCTTTGTTGTACCACATTTGACGGATACTGAAAAGATAGCGAATGGTTCGATATCAAAATAGACACCAGAATGCAACTTCACAAAACAAGGTCTATCTAGTTTTTAAATGACGTCATTAAAAATGAGAACGCTAGATCGAAGACGGTACTGCACATTTAGCATACTGAAAAGTATGAAGTGAGCCAATTCACACCACACTGTTCATCACCTGGTTGGCTTGACAGTAATGCCACATTTCGTCTTGGAATAGTTTTGCTGTATTGGCATATACATCAACGAAATTGGCTCGCATATTTAAATAGTATAATGTAAATGTATAAATTATGTCAACGTCAGACAACGTCTCGGAATATAAGCATTTCAAGATCAAAATTCTTACTAAATCTTGCCTAGCATACAATATTGACAATGTAATGTATATATCACGCGCCATATTGATTTTGACTGCGAAGACATTTCGTCGATAATCTCACAATATGTACTACATTTAACACTCGCTTTATTGCAGCATAATTCTTATACACCCCCACCGTCAATAATTTGATCATATATCATACCGTTATTTACAGAAAATAAAAGCTGAATAATTCGGCTAGAGCGAATGACAATACTTACTATCCAGAATATAGTTTACGGCATTTCCACCACTTAAAGCCAACTGGGGAAAAAAAGCAGAATTAAAGCCAACTGAAAAGGCAGTCATGTCATACACAATAAAATCATATCTGCTATGAATATACCACAACAATTAGAACATGGATATGTTAAATTGGCGCGAAAAAGATTGGATTCAAGTGCAAATCACTTCTGATCTGGCATAATGAAATGCGGTTTAATGTCATTTTTCAGCATCGACCGAGTCCAATGAAGGCAGGCATACGTTAGACAGGGTGCATTTGAAGGGAAATATTGCCCTAACAGCAATTGGATTCCATCTACCAATGACTGAATATAAAATAAAACTTACCAATAATAAACAACAGGGTAATACTGTATTGACCATCGTGCTAAAAAGAAATATATTAGGTAGGAGACAGATTACGGGTGTTGAAATGTTTTGTTTCTTCTCTATTATTGCAATGGTGAGGTGTTATTACCATCCCAGTCCCTCAATGAATGGCCGGGTTGTATTTGACAAGTTATACCCATTAACATCAGACAAAGTTGTGTCAATTCGATGCCATTAAACCCGGTCATCCCCCCCCCCCCCACAGTCCAAAATAGGTTATCTGCCCTCTATATGAAATTAGTCCTGCTTAACCAGCTTACCGACCGTTCTCCGGCTGATTGACAGGCCAGGGTGATGAAGACCCATTTTCTACGAAACCTTACAGAAAGCTACATCACTAAATCTAAGTTAGAAACACGCATGTTAACAACTCAACGATGTTTGAGAACCTTGGAAAAAAACCGGAAATACTAGTATGCTCTTCTTGCCTAACGAAGGAGCTTCGGGATACTAATTTTACTGAACTAAAAAGATGCCACTCCTAACGTTATACATTATACAGCAGACAAAGATTTAATTCCATCCCATTCGCCAAAAAAGACACAGTTTGTGTAAGTGATATAAACAAATGTTAAGATCGTAAATCTTTACATAATAAACTAAAAAATTACTACATAAAACATTTGATGAGACAAACTAACAATATACTCCACACTCCTGTCTGTAGTCAAGCCTGAACTAATGTCAAACAACGCGATATCCTTATATACCTTCATGGACGGGCTCATGCACGTGCATTTCCGCGAGCTTATTGTTTGTCACAACATGATTTGCGTTTGGGAGAGTGGTTACGTTCAGCTAAACGTCAAAGTGAGAGTGATAAATGATCTGTCTTAACGCACGCTTGCCAGTTGCCACTAACCCACCCCGACAAGGATCTGGGCTCCAGCCTAATCTATGTGTGTTGTTTTTTTTTAAAACACCGAATTTGTTCGAAGTACCAATACAATAAAAATATGTCGACGCCCCTGTCCGTCCAGACGTCTTAATATTTCTATCCGATTTACGAAAAGTCGCGTTTAGCTTGATTTTAAATAATGTTCAAATACACAGGAATCGCAGATAAATTCGCATTTCAGAATAAACGGACCGAAAATTCCGGTTAAAATAGCATCTTCCTTAAAGATACATTATGGAAGATTAGATAAAGAGCTGGCAGTTCCCGCTATAATAGTTAAAAATTATATAATATAAAAGGAATTTTCTGAAAATTTCAGTCAAATTGATCCACGATGAACCGAGATTTTAGCGATTGAATTTTCGGCCTAGCCTCGATCATCATTACTAAAGTCGGTACGATATGGTATAAAATTAAAAGGACACGTGATTTTTCTTTGATTTTATTGACCCATCGCAGTTGTTCCTAATGTTTTGGAATCTGTAGTGGCTCATTGAGTATAAAGTTAGATCACTAACCTAGGGTCCTGTGTTCGATTCCTGCGTTGCTCTAGAAAGTTTGAACGTGGTAAAGAACAACGTATAGACGTTCAGATGGGCCAAAATACAGAGGTCCCTTGTACACATGGGCATGCACGTGAAATATCGCTTGGCAGTTGAAATTCGATATAAGAGTAGGCCGTAGCGCCGCGTCCCGGTCACAATGTTCCCTCCAATTGCAATGTATGACGTATGCCCCTCTTCATTAGCTCATTCTGAGCAGAACAGGATGAGGATAAACCCTATTTCATTTCATTTTTATACGCCCACATTTTCATATGGACGTATATTGTCGTCGCCCCTGTCCGTCCGTCCGTCCGTCCGTCCACAATTTGTTTGTGGACTCTCTACAGGTCACAATTCTTGTCCGATTTTGACGAAACTTGAAATATAGGTTTATTCCCAAAAGATCTCGGCTGCTTTCGATATTGGCATGTATCGGATCGAAACTTCATGAATTATGGCCCCTGTTTGTACGAAAAATTACGTTTTAAGGTTGTGGACCCTATAGAGGTCACAATTTTTATAAGTTACGTTTTGTTGAAACTTGACATGTAAGTTTATAACCCAAAGATCTCAGTTTCTTTCGATATTCGTGCATATCGGACCGTAACTTCCTGAAATATGGCCCCTGATTGTACGAAAAATCGCGTTTTTAGCTTGTGGACCCTATAGAGGCCATAATTTTTATCAGATTTAAAAAACGGTGTTATTATATCACCGTTACACCCTAAGGAAGGTTGAGTTCGAATTTCGTGAAAATCGGACCAAAATTGCCGGACAAAATGGCCGCCGTTTGTACGCGAATAGTGTAAAAATATGGTAAATCAAGGTTGTGGACCCTGTATGGGTCACAATTTTAATTCGATTTTGATGAAACTTGAAATGCATGTTTATAAACTAAAGATCTTTGTTCCTTTCGATGTTGTCGCATATCGGATCGTAACTTCCTGAATTATGGCCCCTGGTTATACGAAAAATTGCGTTTTTAGCTTGTGAACCTTATATAGGTCATAATTTTTATCCGATTTAAAAAATCGTATTATTATGTCACCGTTACACCCTAAGGCAGGTCGAGTTCGAATTTGGGGAAAATCGGACCAACATTGCCGGAAAAAATGGCAGTCGTTTGTACGCGAATAGTGTAAAAATAGGGTAAATCAAGGTTGTGGACCCTGTATTGGTCACAATTTTAATTCGATTTTGTTGAAACTTGAAAAGCATGTTTATAACCTAAAGATCTTGGTTCCTTTCGATATTGTCGCATATCAGATCGTAACTTACAGAATTATGGCCCCTGATTGTACGCAAAATCGCCTTTTTTAGCTTGTGGTCCCTCTGGAGGTCACAATTATTTTCCGATTTAAAAAAACGTTTGATTATATAATGAAAGTTGAAAATCGGACCAAAATTGCCGGACAAAATGGCCGCCGCTTGTACGCGACCCTGTAGAGATCGCAATTTTAATTCGATTTTGATGAAACTTGAAATGCATGTTTATAACCTAAAGATCTTGGTTCCTTTCGATATTGTCGCATATCGAATTGTAACTTCATGAATTGTGACCCTTGATTGTAGGAAAAATCACTTTCTTTTTAGCTTGTTCTCTATCCATCTCTCAAAAATGTGGGCGTATCCTGCCTGGCAGCCGCTGGTCTTATAAGTTATCTGCGGTTTCTCATGAATTATGGCCCCTGATTATACGAAAAATCGCCTCTTTTAGCTTGTGGTCCCCTCTGAAGGTCACAGTTATTATCTGATTTTAAAAATCGTTTGAACGTAACACCATAATAAAGGTTGAGTTCAAATTTCCTGAAAATCAAACCAAAACTGCCGGACAAAGTGGCCGCCGCTTGTACGCGAAAGGTGTAAAAATATGGTATATCAAGGTTGTGGACCCTGTAGAGGTTACAATTTTAATCCGATTTCGATGAAACTTGAAATGCTTGTTTATAACCCAAAGATCTTGGTTCCTTTCGATATTTGTGCATATCGAATTGTAACTTCATGAATTGTGGCCCTTGATTGTAGGAAAAATCACTTTCTTTTTAGCTTGTTCTCTATCCATCTCTCAAAAATGTGGGCATATCCTGCCTGGCAGCCGCTGGTCTTATATGTTATCTGCGGTTTCTCAGTTGATGCAAATTAGGGGGATGGGTGGTCGAATTGTGTGCTTTGGAATCCCCACTTGTACGTGACAAGAAGTAGGGTCGCCTGTCCAATTGCTACGCTCAAGTGAATTATTGAAATAAAAATGAACCATATTATGTTAGTCCCGAAATGACCTAATTTGTGTCGAGTGGGCGTTAAACCCCATTTATTTATCTCTTTCTGATACAAATTAAAGTTTAATGTCAGCTGGGTGGCACGGTAGCTAAGTAGGTAAGACGCTGGGCTTGCTAGGATGGAGGTCAGGTGTTCGGTCCCTGCAATGGCCGAAAAAGTTTATCCAGATTGTCCGGCGTCAGTGATGCAGGACGGAGGGCCTAGCAAGGACAGCTGTCTAGTCGTTCGGGTGGGACGAAAAGAAAAACCGAGGTCCCGTGTACACATTGGCGTGCACGTAAAAGATCCTTTGACAGTTGGAATTTGATATAAGATTAGGCCGTAGCGCCGCTGTCCGGGCAAACTTTCCCTCATAGCACACTGTATGGCATACGACCGTCTTCATTAGTAGGGTGACCCACCATAAATAAATATCTCCATATATCTCGACAATTACGCCACAAAATTTATATATATGCCAAGCGTCAAATCAGTTTCACACAATTATAGTCACTAAATAAACGATCATGTTGTACTTAATAAGCTATGACCATTAATCATGTATAAATAATAGACTGAAAACTGGTTCCAAGAGTCGTCCATAACATCCAGACACTTTTGAGTAAAAGATAGGTTACGTGCCCTTGTTTTGAAATTAGTCTCGCTTAACCAGTCTATCGACCATTCTACGTCTGATTGACAGGTCGGGATAATCAAGACTACTTTTTTACGAAACGTAACAGAAAGCTAGAACAAGAAATTGAAATAAGCACGTTAGGTAGCTCAACAATCGTTTTAAGAAGCTTGTAAAAGTAAAATGAAACTACTGCTAGTATCATGTTCCTGCCTAACCCGAGTGATTCAGAGATATTATTTGTACTAAACCAAAAGATGCCGCTCTTAACGGTACAGTTAATGATAAAGCGATTTAAAAAATGAAACGAACGTAATTTCTGAATCTGCTGTAATAACAAAGAAGCTTAATTTAACTTCTATTCAAAATCGTCAACAATCATTTTTTTACGGCTGTAATAGTTGATAGATTTGTAGAGAATTGCACGTGCCATGGCTATTTATAGTATCATACTGTAAGAAAGTTGGTCTCGGCACGGCGAATGTGCACGCTTTAGTTGTAGTCTCGAACTATAAGCGGTGGACTGTATTTCTGTGAGTACATGGGTCACCCTACCATTAGTCCAGTTCGGAGCAGAACAGTAGGAAGTTAAACCCCATTTCATTTCATTTCATTTAACGACATTTTCAGGTTTTCTGTCAATTGCATGATTCTTTCTGAAGGCTAGCTTAGAACTATAATTTAGTATTAAATTTCAGACATATTGGAGAAGGATATGCGCGTGGTGAGCGCGTATGACATTCCTTATTATTTGTGAATGAGGAAAAACTTAGGAGAGGGTAGCGCCGACTGTTTGGCCGAGAGGAGAATTGTGGCCAGAATGCGGTGCGCACAATGAGACCAAAGGCGTATTAAGACCTTGATTGGAGCGTGCTGATGGGCGCGGGGTCTATTTCTTGCCGATCGAGCGACGCTCATTGGAGCATGCCGTACGCTGTCGCTACATTATCCCCACTCTCACTACGCCACCACCCCATCCCATGACTTTGTTACGCGGGTACGGGGCATGTTCCACACCGCCTATCAATCCCTCCTAGTTCCTACCATGCAGATATTCGATATTTATATTGTACATTTGCAGTAGCCGTCTCATGGCTTATCCTGTTATTGCAGTCAATATTACATTTATGGTGTCCATACAATGTCAAGTCTGACGTCATATTTTAGCACTATATAATATTATTATAATTGAGCATAGAGCATAAAAATAATTGGGTGATTTTAAGATATTTGGAAATGAGTAAGGATGACAATTTCTACATCAATGAAAAGAGAATTACATGCTCTTCATTTTAAGAGAATAAATAAAATGAAACCATATGTTAGTCCCGAAATGACCTAGTTTGTGTCGAGTGGACTTTAAACCCCATTTCTCTCTCTCTCTCTCTCTTATAATATGGGATCTACGACGAAGATCATTTGCATACGAAAAAAAGTCCGGACTAGGACGGAAATTAATAATTTACGCGATCGACCTTGTCAGTAGAAGGGGGCGGTACTCATATTTACAGACCATCGGAAAACGATGAATGAAATGAAATTAAATTGAGTTTAACATCCTACTGATCCGCTCCGATACGGCCTACTCCCCACTAAAAAGCACGTCCATTTCTCTTTTCAAATATTTAAATAATTTTCTTTCACATTTATATTTACCTACTTTGAATAAATGAAATGGGGTTTAATGTCCTACTTCGACCGGGCAAATGAAGAGGGGCATGCGCCATACATTGTGCTATAAGGAGAATTATGCCCGGGCAGCGTCACTATGGCCTACTTTGTTATCGAATTCCAACTGACAAGGGATCTTTTACGTGAACGCCAATGTATACACGGGACCTCGATAAAAAGATTAAAGTTGTAATGAAGAAGGGGGGGGGGGGTATGAAGTAAAAATGGGGGGCTTATCGAAGGCTCGGATTAGTCATACCGAGCGCATGATTTCACAGACCTTGTAGATTAATCGCCTAAATTATTAATTTCCGCCCCTAGTCCGGATTGTTTTCCGTATGCAAATGAGCTTCGTCGTAGATCCCATATGTTCTAATATGCTAAGTTCATTACGCATTTGTCTATAATGCTAAATGCAGAATGGAGAAGTGTAATGTGCAAAATAACTATTATACTGTATTTTGTATTAAGTGTATTATATATTTTAACACTATGACATTGGTATTGTGGAACCATGGAAATTGAAAATTGTAAAACTAAAATACGTATTTTAAACCATTAATTTGCCAAATATATTAATTAATGAAATATAAAGTCATCTTATTTCTCTATTCTTTATCTATAAATTTAAAAACAATGTCGCCACGACTATATGGCTACAAAATAAAAGTAAATATACAGTAACAAGCAAATATGCTTATAAAAACTGTTTCCATAATCATGATCATTACATATATGACGACTACAAATATATATATCTGTATGATGTGTGATTTAAACCAAAGGTATGGATAAAACATGTAAATTCAAAGCTGGGAGCAAGGAAGATGAATGGATTATTTTTAGAACACTATTAAAATTAAATGTAAAATTACAGTGAAAAATATGTAATTTCTTTAACATAACGCTGTAAAAATACCACTACATGTTTTTATGCTATAAATTTACTGTAGTAGTGAGGTAACGTGGGATTACTGTCAAAAAATTGTAAATTAACAATAAAAGTTTTGTTTAACAAGTTAGAACTGTATTTTTATTAAATGCAATCGGTATTGATACAACTATGTTGGTTAAAAGTACATGTATGTTGTACTTTAACTGTTTTTATGGATAATTCTACTATTCAAACATGTTTCAATATGGGATTTGTGTACAATTACAGGAAACGTGTAATTCTACATTTCTTTAGAACTTTAACATTGATAGACCTTTTAAAGATACATTCCCGGGTACAAACTGGGTGATTTGATGATAAATTTGGACTAAAAACATATTCAAACTAATTAATTTATCATAATTTTGCTTCAAATCCGTCTCAAAACATTGCAATTGTCAGGGAATAACCTGGCTATAAAAAAATCGATCAAAAGAGGTCATGTTTGTGTCACGTGACTTAACTCTCTCTTGGAGGAGAATTTATCGCATACACAAGACGATGTTGTCTTTAATTGCCGACTATCCATTATTTTTCTAGTAAGATTGGATATTTCTACTTTCCATATATACCAAAATTGCCATACTTATATTGGAAATAACCACCCGATAAATACTTATCTGGGAACCTATCGTTAAGGCTTTATTTCTTTTCCTCTATACTATAGTCTACCTATGAGGGGGTCACGGTGGCTAAGTGGGTAAGACGCTGGCTCGCTAGCCTGGAGGTCGGGTGTTCGATCCCTGCATTGGCCGAGAAAGTTCATCCAGATTTTGCGGCGTGGTTCCCCCTTGTCAGTGATGCAGGAGGGAGGGCCGGGCAAGGATAGCTGTCTAGTCGTTTGGATGGGACGAAACACTGAGGTCCTGTATACACGTTGGTGTGCGCGTAAAAGATCCCTAATAAACTGTTAAAATTATATGTATATTTACAGTTATAAGTATACTTAAAATACAGTCTCCGATTTGTAATATCACATAGTTTATTAATTTACATTTAAAACTTAAACTTAATGTAGAAAAACAACCACATGTCTGTTTACATTATGTGAGCTGTATATTAACAGAATTGCCATTTGAATTATTATTTTTACAAAAATTGTAAATTAACTTTCAAATAGTGGCCACATCGGTTATTCCCTCTTTGGTCACATGTAAGATTACATAAAACGTTATGTAAAAATACAACCATGTGTCGAATTACATTATGTGAGCTGTATATTAACAGACATTCCATTTGAAATAGTATTTTTACAACAAATTGTAAATTTACTGTCAAATAGTGTTCAAATCGGTTATTCCCCTTCGACCACATATCGAATTTTGTGCAAAATATTTACTGTTATATCAGTCAGACTAGTCTATTTTAGAGAAATAGGTTATTCAGAATCTGAATGCACCTAACTGGCGTATGGAGACCGTGATATGCCATATATAGGGTTGTGTGGGACATTTTGCTTCGTGTCATGCCTCCTACTCGTTCCATTGTAAGAAGCAGAACAGTGGGTCGTTAAACCCCATTTCTTTAATTTCTTTCTATTATTGAATGATTTTTGCATGCTCGGCTGAAAGGTCAGCAACACTTTAGTAGGACTACTTAGCAGAATGGGGACAATCACATACACGGTATATTTCAAGTAAATATACAGTTAAAATTGTATTTTTACCGCAGAAAGTTGCCAATAAAATCACTGTATTTTAACACTGATTTGTAAATGTACGCCTAAATGGTAGATTTAGATTTACAAACACCACGTAAATGTATAGTAAGTGTAAAATAACTTTGAGGTAAATTTACAACCACATTGTAAATATACAGTGAGTGTAAGATAACTTTAAGGTAAATTTACAACCACAGTGTAAATTTACAGTGAACATAAATTTACCCCACTTTCTATTTACAAGAACAAGTTATTTTACACTCAATGTAAATTTATATGCTGTTTGTAAATCTAAATCTACCACGTAGGTGTAAATTTACAAGTCAGTGTTTGTAAATCTAAATCTACCACGTAGGTGTAAATTTACAAGTCATTGTTAAAATACAGTCAATTTACCGGCAATTTTCTGTCAGTCAATTTACGGTAAAAATAAACAAATATTATTTACAGTGAAGTATAACATAATCATATCATTTTTAGGCTCCAACTTTGAATTAATCATCAGTTACGTATTTTACCAATGTCTGGAAGGTCTCAGTTTAATGTATAACATGTTTGAAGCCTTATTAATAAATACACAGTTATCATTGATTTGTTATAATAGTAATTATATATTCCTGTACATGTAAATTGACTGAGATACAAGTCTATCACGTTCATTTAAAACGCTTGGTTAATTCAAGGAATTTAAAAACAACTCGGAAGAGATCAATGTTTTCTTCATACCGTTTATATTTCTTTTTAGAAGAGTTTTTTTGTATTTTTCGAGTCTACGTCCAAAGTGTCGATTGTGATTTGTCTTGTTCTTGTTAGTGACCTGATTGTTCCTTGGACAGTTGCGCGTCAATTGATAGACTCCATTGTTTTATGATATGACATTACTATTCCAAGATGGCTGCGATGACATCATGCTCAGTAACTGGTCCATACTTGTTTAAATCACCCCACTAAAATATCCATTCTCTCTGTTACCAGTTGTTATTTGTGCCAATTATGTTTGTCTTGTGGGTTTAACGAGAGTGCGTTAGATCATAAGGCCTGTCTTTGAGTCAAGTGGCTAGGTTTAGATTCTCCGCTTGCAAGTGACAAAGATTGTTACAATCTCCGTATATCAATTGCAGTTTACAGATTCACGATCCACTATAAATATCTCCATCAGACAAACCTAGACAACAAACTATTTAATAACATATACAAATGATAAAATGATATTACAAATGAGTATAACAGCGTTGATCAGGATCAATGTATGGGATTACCACAACATTCAGTTCAATTTGACTAGAAGTTCGATCGCCTTAAATGGTAACAAACGAGAGATTTCGATGAATTATCATACTCTCATCACAAGGAGTAGTGTGGTCAGTACACACTCGTGGGTTTTCTCCGGGTTCTCATGTTTCCTTCTACAGCTATAGATTCCTACGTGAATTATTGAAATAAAATTGAGCCATATGTTAGTCCCTATATCACATATCTCTTTATTAAATTAGATGAACTGTATAAAGTGTCTTAGTACGGCATGAGCGGGGTATTTGCCGACCAGCATGAGTGGGGTATTTGCCGACCAGATGGTGACGTGTACCAATACATACTCTAAACTGTGAATCGTTATGGTCAAACTTTAACGTGGGGGGAGTCCCATCAGGCGTATATAATTTGGCGTCAGTAGTGTTCATCCGCTCAGTACCAAAATGGCTTCACACATAATTTGAGAGAGATCCATTAAATAATGTAGCCACTATCGCATTAATAATAATAATAAATTGTATTTATGTGGAGAGTATCTGTAGAATATATTAATGATTACACCATTAGTACACCTTATTAAATTGTTATGTTTTTAAAGCAGATTTCAATTCTGCAAATGTAGGTAGTTCCCGCATTATTTTGGAAGATCATTCCAGAGAATTGCACTATTTTTCCACATAGCTTATCATATTTCGGTACAAATAGTGATGTTTTATAGTTCGTGGCTCTGAGGTTGTGGCGACATCTGTTTTATATACACATGTAGCTGGGGAGGATATGGAGAAGATTCTTTCATATACAGTTGTATTTCATATTCAATTCGTGCTCTAACTGGCTGTCAATGCAATTCCTTTAGTTTGTCACTGATGTGTTCACGTCTCGGTGTTTTAATCACTGGTCTAGCGGCGCTATTTTGTGTGACTTGCAACCTACCCAGAGAGAATTTATGTGCTCCGACTAGAAGAGCATTTGCATAGCCAATATGGGAAATAACTAAGGAAGTAACAGTTTTTACACAGACTGATTTGCTCAAATAATATTGGATACTTGTTATTGGTTTCATGTTAAAGTACATATTTTGGATACTATTGTTTATTTGGGGAGTCATCCATAACATAATCTGAGTTGTTCGCTTTTTGAATTGGATGAATGAGACTAGAATCCATTCGTAGTTTTGGGATCACCCTTAGGCTCGGTGATTTGGTCTGGGGGCTTTTGATAAGGAAGTGGGTTTTGTCATCATTTAGTTTTAATTTGTTTAGACAAATCCACACACGAACATCATCCAGACATTTCTCTAGTTTTGATATGTTTCAGACAAATGAAATTCGTGATAAATTGAGTGTCATCAGCAAAACCATGATTGTTGACTCCATGTTTCCGTATAATTGGACCAAGTGGAAAAAGGTACAGCAAGAAGGTTTTCGGAAAAGGCAGTGTATCTCTGAAACGGTAGGTTGTGAAGGGCTGGATGTAGATAGGGTTCGTCCTCTAATAACCTCATTGTTTTATAGTTCGTGGCTCTGAGGTTGTGGCGACAAATATGAAAGAAAATTCGCTAGAAACGCTAGACTTTGTCGCGTTAGCAAGCCAATTGGTGACTTACGGGGCGAAGACATAATAAGCCCAGACTTACATATTTCCGCATATAAATAAAATAAATAATGAGTAATGGTTTTGTTATTTTTATTTATAACATGGGAACAACTCTTCAATCCGGCTTATTTACAAAAACAAGTGTGTATATAAATGTTGCAAGCACAGTTTCTCTAGGGAGTAGTAGCGTAACCGTAAGGACTGGCAGCTGGAGCAGCAGCATATGCAGGATTGGCAGGTAGAGCAGCAGCAAATGCAGGATTGGCAGCTGGAGCAGCAGCATATGCAGGATTGGCAGCTGGAGCAGCAGCATATGCAGGATTGGCAGCTGGAGCAGCAGCATATGCAGGATTGGCTGCTGTTTGTTGGTAAGCAACATTACCATAAGCTGGGTTAGCTGCTGCTTGTTGGTAAGCAGGTTGATAAGCAGCGTTGCCATAACCTGCTGGATTAGCTGCTGCACCGTAAGCATTATATTGAGCTGGATCTACCGCAGCCCCATTAGCAGAGGGATATTGAGATGGCATTCCATAAGCTGTTTGTTGAGCATTAGGATCTACAGCACCGTATCCACCATATCCATAAGCTGCTTGCCGCTTGCTTCTTATTTTAGATTCTCCAAATGTAACTGCACACAGGACAATACACACGGTGACCTGAAAAACAACCACACACAATAATAACATTAGTAGATTACAAATATTTCTAACATCGTGTTGTTACAATACACATGGTGACCTGAGATAGACACACAGTAAACCGAATAGTAAAGGGAGAAAGACATGTTTTATCTCGTATTGGTAGTAAGAAATGGCACAACATAAATTTTAAACCTATAGGATATTAATCCAAGAAGGTGTGTGTGTGTGTGTGGGGGGGGGGGGGGGGTAACGTCCGCCATTGAGTCAAGTGGCGTGGTACGTGACAAGGAGAACGTTCCGATGTCTAACCTCGTAGGTTTTCGCCGGTTTCCTCCCACTTTTAAGAGATCCCAAGCGAATTGTTGAAATAAAACTCAGTCATGTTTAGCCGCGAAATTACCTAGTTTGTGTACATATGCACATATGTGTAACATAATTGCATAGGTTGCAACTGTACAATGAATTGGCCATGGGAGAAATTTGGTTAATTTTATGGGATGTATTACAACATAAAAATTGAAATATACTCGTTGTTATTCCCTGCTTGCTGTTCTGCCACCATGTTTAATAAATGAGCAACATAAATTACAACTTTCAACAGGTAGATTAAAATATATTAATCAAACTACATTTGTTAAGTTATCGTATTAATATTCATTGTAAACTTTAAAGTTGCAATTACAAATTTTCAAGTTATATTTTTAAAATGTATTAAAATAAAGGATTAAAATAGATGGTATCCATAAACAGTCCTACCTTGTTAAAGAATAATCCTATTAAACCTATAATTCGCTATTGCCAGCTGAGAAATTGGCAAAAATATCATTTTTAACTTCAAATTCCAACGTTGGGAAATGTCTGCCCCATGTTGTCAATAGCAAAACAGGGGAGGTAATTGTGTTGTTATTTCCTGTGTCATAGATTTTTAAGGGTGGGAAATAATGCCCATGATCGTATAATAGTGATAACCTATTGAACAAAAGACATAGAAATAATTGTTTTGACTTTCTTAGAAAATTTGAAATTCTCGCTTTAAGTGATTAAATAGTGTGGTAATATGTTATTTAACCCAACTTTTATAACTGTTTGGCGTGCACGTAAAAATAACCCTTGGCATTTGGAATCCAAAGTAATAGTGGGTTGTACCGCTGCTGTCATGGCAAAATTGCCGTCATAGCTCACTGCATGGCATACGCCCGTCTTCAGTAGCCCACTGTATGACGTATATCCGAATGAAGCATCAAAGAAGGGCGTTAAATCCCATTTCATTTCATTTGAAAATATAAGTTTCTATCTTACCATTAAGCATCTCATGATTGTTGTTCAGGTGTCCGTAGGCACAGGTGTAGATATCGTTAATCTGAAGGTACAGGTGTAGATATCGTTAATCTGTAGATACAGCGAGTCAGTGAACAGAAAGATACACAACAACATGTGTCATATAGACTTATATACACTAACTATTAAAAATATAACTCTTTACCTATTGTCACAGCCACGCGACTTCATAAACCTCAATTCACATTCTATTAAAAAAATCATATTTAACAGACATAATCATATTTTCTTTTGTATTTGTATATCTTGAAATAGATATTCATTATATTTCAAAATCAACGGTTGATCTAGCTGACTTTAAACAAACAAGTACGTGTTCTATAATAATTCAACACACTTTCTACACATTGTAGTTAATTATGTCACATTGCATTGACGTAAATGATGCAATTCAATTGGTAAGCGTGCCGAGTAGAATTTAATTATGTGACGAAACAATAAATTCATGCAGTATAATAAATGTATTAATATACAACAAGAAGAAAAATGGTGTTTATTGTGTGCAGTTAAATTTGGAGAATCTAAAATAAGAAGCAAGAGACAGGCTGCTTATGGATATGGTGGATACGGTGCTGTTGATCCTAATGCTCAACAAACAGCTTATGGAATGCCATCTCAATATCTCTCTGCTTATGGGGCTGCGGTAGATCCAGCTCAATATAATGATTACGGTGCAGCAGCTAATCCAGCAGGCTATGGCAGCACTGCTTATCAACCTGCTTACCAACAAACAGCACCTAATCCGGTTTATGATGCTTATCAACTCGCAGTAGCCAACCCTGCTTATGGTGCCTATGGTGCATATGCTGCTGTTCAAGCAGCCAACCTTCAAGGTTACTTTACAACCCTATAGATTATTAATTAAATCTAAATCTCGCCTCTCATTGGACTGTTTTTCTATGTGATAGAATCAGTTTTTAATTTGCCAGTACATAAAGTAATCAAAAAATATCCTATGGTAAAAGTTGGGTTAATGTTATTATTGAACAATGCAATGTATATTAAAATGTATTTTGATATTATGTATATTGAAATTTATAATGAAAGGACCCTAGACGACTCTTATTTTTGTAAATATCTTTTATTGAATTAAAGTGTGTTTGTTTGTTTGTTTAGACTCTGTATCTGCGTGATTATAATTTGGTGGCTGCAATCGGTCATTTCTACGCTCTATATGAGAGGTACAACAAAATCAACACAACTGGGCGAAGATATGAAGACGAAGAGGCGTAGATACCAAGTTAACGTTCTTTCGTATCTCCTTCTTCTTATAGGGGGTTGGATGGCCGAATGGTTAGCACGTGCGTGCTGTATTATAAAGCCTGTCATTGAGTCAACTGGCGTGGTTTCGAATCCCCGGTTGTACGTGACAAGGAGTAAGGTCGCCTGTCCAACCTCGTGGCTTTTCTCCGGGTCCTCCGGTTTCCTCCCACTGCTATAGACCCCTACGCGCAAGCGAATTATTGAAATAAAATTAAAAACCATATGTTAGTCCCGAAATGACCTAGTTTGTGTCGAGTGGACGTTAAACCCATCTCTCTCTCTCTCTCTCTCTCCCTTCTTCTTATGGAAAACCGTGTGCTGGGTTAGAAATGAAATGAATAGAAATGAAATTAGGGGCTTAACAAATAAAGGCGGGCATACGCCATACAGTGTGCTATCGGGGAAATTTTGTTTGTGTAGCGGCACTATGGCATACTCTTATATCGGATTCCAACTGTCAGGAGATCTATTACGTGCACGCCGATGTGTACACGGTAGCTTGGTCTTTTGTCCCATCCGAATGACGAGACCGCTCTCCTTCTCGGGCCCTACTTTCTGCACCACTAACAAGGAGGAACCACGCCGGAAAATTCAGAACACCGGGATCGAACACGAGACCTCTAGATCAGCAAACCAACGTTTTACTCACTGGGCCATCATCGTTCCTGTTATAACTATGAGAGAAGTTTAATATATTTATCTACTGATATCTACAAATATTAATTCCTGGTCATGGAATGACCCAATCGTTCTATTATTATTATGTATCAGTGTGCATGGGAGCCACGTTGGCTCAGTGGGTAAGACGTTGACTTGCTAACATGGAGAACCAGTGTTAGAACACTGCGCTAGCCGAGAAAGTTCGTCAATATTTTCCGGCGTGGTTCCCCCTTATCAGTGGACGTGGGTGGGGGTGGCAAGGGACAACTTATATTCGTTCTGATGGGACGAAAAACCGAGGTACACATTGGCGTGCACGTAAAAGATCCTTTGGCTGTTGAAATTTGATATAAGAGTAGCGCCGCTGTGGGGCAAAATTTCCTTCATGACACACTGTATGGTGTATATAAGTTTCTATCTTACCATTAAGCATCTCATGATTGTTGTTCAGGTGTCCGTAGGCACAGGTGTAGATATCGTTAATCTGAAGGTACAGGTGTAGATATCGTTAATCTGTAGATACAGCGAGTCAGTGAACAGAAAGATACACAACAACATGTGTCATATAGACTTATATACACTAACTATTAAAAATATAACTCTTTACCTATTGTCACAGCCACGCGACTTCATAAACCTCAATTCACATTCTATTAAAAAAATCATATTTAACAGACATAATCATATTTTCTTTTGTATTTGTATATCTTGAAATAGATATTCATTATATTTCAAAATCAACGGTTGATCTAGCTGACTTTAAACAAACAAGTACGTGTTCTATAATAATTCAACACACTTTCTACACATTGTAGTTAATTATGTCACATTGCATTGACGTAAATGATGCAATTCAATTGGTAAGCGTGCCGAGTAGAATTTAATTATGTGACGAAACAATAAATTCATGCAGTATAATAAATGTATTAATATACAACAAGAAGAAAAATGGTGTTTATTGTGTGCAGTTAAATTTGGAGAATCTAAAATAAGAAGCAAGAGACAGGCTGCTTATGGATATGGTGGATACGGTGCTGTTGATCCTAATGCTCAACAAACAGCTTATGGAATGCCATCTCAATATCTCTCTGCTTATGGGGCTGCGGTAGATCCAGCTCAATATAATGATTACGGTGCAGCAGCTAATCCAGCAGGCTATGGCAGCACTGCTTATCAACCTGCTTACCAACAAACAGCACCTAATCCGGTTTATGATGCTTATCAACTCGCAGTAGCCAACCCTGCTTATGGTGCCTATGGTGCATATGCTGCTGTTCAAGCAGCCAACCTTCAAGGTTACTTTACAACCCTATAGATTATTAATTAAATCTAAATCTCGCCTCTCATTGGACTGTTTTTCTATGTGATAGAATCAGTTTTTAATTTGCCAGTACATAAAGTAATCAAAAAATATCCTATGGTAAAAGTTGGGTTAATGTTATTATTGAACAATGCAATGTATATTAAAATGTATTTTGATATTATGTATATTGAAATTTATAATGAAAGGACCCTAGACGACTCTTATTTTTGTAAATATCTTTTATTGAATTAAAGTGTGTTTGTTTGTTTGTTTAGACTCTGTATCTGCGTGATTATAATTTGGTGGCTGCAATCGGTCATTTCTACGCTCTATATGAGAGGTACAACAAAATCAACACAACTGGGCGAAGATATGAAGACGAAGAGGCGTAGATACCAAGTTAACGTTCTTTCGTATCTCCTTCTTCTTATAGGGGGTTGGATGGCCGAATGGTTAGCACGTGCGTGCTGTATTATAAAGCCTGTCATTGAGTCAACTGGCGTGGTTTCGAATCCCCGGTTGTACGTGACAAGGAGTAAGGTCGCCTGTCCAACCTCGTGGCTTTTCTCCGGGTCCTCCGGTTTCCTCCCACTGCTATAGACCCCTACGCGCAAGCGAATTATTGAAATAAAATTAAAAACCATATGTTAGTCCCGAAATGACCTAGTTTGTGTCGAGTGGACGTTAAACCCATCTCTCTCTCTCTCTCTCTCTCCCTTCTTCTTATGGAAAACCGTGTGCTGGGTTAGAAATGAAATGAATAGAAATGAAATTAGGGGCTTAACAAATAAAGGCGGGCATACGCCATACAGTGTGCTATCGGGGAAATTTTGTTTGTGTAGCGGCACTATGGCATACTCTTATATCGGATTCCAACTGTCAGGAGATCTATTACGTGCACGCCGATGTGTACACGGTAGCTTGGTCTTTTGTCCCATCCGAATGACGAGACCGCTCTCCTTCTCGGGCCCTACTTTCTGCACCACTAACAAGGAGGAACCACGCCGGAAAATTCAGAACACCGGGATCGAACACGAGACCTCTAGATCAGCAAACCAACGTTTTACTCACTGGGCCATCATCGTTCCTGTTATAACTATGAGAGAAGTTTAATATATTTATCTACTGATATCTACAAATATTAATTCCTGGTCATGGAATGACCCAATCGTTCTATTATTATTATGTATCAGTGTGCATGGGAGCCACGTTGGCTCAGTGGGTAAGACGTTGACTTGCTAACATGGAGAACCAGTGTTAGAACACTGCGCTAGCCGAGAAAGTTCGTCAATATTTTCCGGCGTGGTTCCCCCTTATCAGTGGACGTGGGTGGGGGTGGCAAGGGACAACTTATATTCGTTCTGATGGGACGAAAAACCGAGGTACACATTGGCGTGCACGTAAAAGATCCTTTGGCTGTTGAAATTTGATATAAGAGTAGCGCCGCTGTGGGGCAAAATTTCCTTCATGACACACTGTATGGTGTATATAAGTTTCTATCTTACCATTAAGCATCTCATGATTGTTGTTCAGGTGTCCGTAGGCACAGGTGTAGATATCGTTAATCTGAAGGTACAGGTGTAGATATCGTTAATCTGTAGATACAGCGAGTCAGTGAACAGAAAGATACACAACAACATGTGTCATATAGACTTATATACACTAACTATTAAAAATATAACTCTTTACCTATTGTCACAGCCACGCGACTTCATAAACCTCAATTCACATTCTATTAAAAAAATCATATTTAACAGACATAATCATATTTTCTTTTGTATTTGTATATCTTGAAATAGATATTCATTATATTTCAAAATCAACGGTTGATCTAGCTGACTTTAAACAAACAAGTACGTGTTCTATAATAATTCAACACACTTTCTACACATTGTAGTTAATTATGTCACATTGCATTGACGTAAATGATGCAATTCAATTGGTAAGCGTGCCGAGTAGAATTTAATTATGTGACGAAACAATAAATTCATGCAGTATAATAAATGTATTAATATACAACAAGAAGAAAAATGGTGTTTATTGTGTGCAGTTAAATTTGGAGAATCTAAAATAAGAAGCAAGAGACAGGCTGCTTATGGATATGGTGGATACGGTGCTGTTGATCCTAATGCTCAACAAACAGCTTATGGAATGCCATCTCAATATCTCTCTGCTTATGGGGCTGCGGTAGATCCAGCTCAATATAATGATTACGGTGCAGCAGCTAATCCAGCAGGCTATGGCAGCACTGCTTATCAACCTGCTTACCAACAAACAGCACCTAATCCGGTTTATGATGCTTATCAACTCGCAGTAGCCAACCCTGCTTATGGTGCCTATGGTGCATATGCTGCTGTTCAAGCAGCCAACCTTCAAGGTTACTTTACAACCCTATAGATTATTAATTAAATCTAAATCTCGCCTCTCATTGGACTGTTTTTCTATGTGATAGAATCAGTTTTTAATTTGCCAGTACATAAAGTAATCAAAAAATATCCTATGGTAAAAGTTGGGTTAATGTTATTATTGAACAATGCAATGTATATTAAAATGTATTTTGATATTATGTATATTGAAATTTATAATGAAAGGACCCTAGACGACTCTTATTTTTGTAAATATCTTTTATTGAATTAAAGTGTGTTTGTTTGTTTGTTTAGACTCTGTATCTGCGTGATTATAATTTGGTGGCTGCAATCGGTCATTTCTACGCTCTATATGAGAGGTACAACAAAATCAACACAACTGGGCGAAGATATGAAGACGAAGAGGCGTAGATACCAAGTTAACGTTCTTTCGTATCTCCTTCTTCTTATAGGGGGTTGGATGGCCGAATGGTTAGCACGTGCGTGCTGTATTATAAAGCCTGTCATTGAGTCAACTGGCGTGGTTTCGAATCCCCGGTTGTACGTGACAAGGAGTAAGGTCGCCTGTCCAACCTCGTGGCTTTTCTCCGGGTCCTCCGGTTTCCTCCCACTGCTATAGACCCCTACGCGCAAGCGAATTATTGAAATAAAATTAAAAACCATATGTTAGTCCCGAAATGACCTAGTTTGTGTCGAGTGGACGTTAAACCCATCTCTCTCTCTCTCTCTCCCTTCTTCTTATGGAAAACCGTGTGCTGGTTTAGAAATGAAATGAATAGAAATGAAATTAGGGGCTTAACAAATAAAGGCGGGCATACGCCATACAGTGTGCTATCGGGGAAATTTTGTTTGTGTAGCGGCACTATGGCATACTCTTATATCGGATTCCAACTGTCAGGAGATCTATTACGTGCACGCCGATGTGTACACGGTAGCTTGGTCTTTTGTCCCATCCGAATGACGAGACCGCTCTCCTTCTCGGGCCCTACTTTCTGCACCACTAACAAGGAGGAACCACGCCGGAAAATTCAGAACACCGGGATCGAACACGAGACCTCTAGATCAGCAAACCAACGTTTTACTCACTGGGCCATCATCGTTCCTGTTATAACTATGAGAGAAGTTTAATATATTTATCTACTGATATCTACAAATATTAATTCCTGGTCATGGAATGACCCAATCGTTCTATTATTATTATGTATCAGTGTGCATGGGAGCCACGTTGGCTCAGTGGGTAAGACGTTGACTTGCTAACATGGAGAACCAGTGTTAGAACACTGCGCTAGCCGAGAAAGTTCGTCAATATTTTCCGGCGTGGTTCCCCCTTATCAGTGGACGTGGGTGGGGGTGGCAAGGGACAACTTATATTCGTTCTGATGGGACGAAAAACCGAGGTACACATTGGCGTGCACGTAAAAGATCCTTTGGCTGTTGAAATTTGATATAAGAGTAGCGCCGCTGTGGGGCAAAATTTCCTTCATGACACACTGTATGGTGTATGTCCGTCTTCATTAGCTCCCGCGAAATGTGAATAACTCTTCGTAACAAAAGGGCTCTTCATTAGTTCTATGGAGCGATACGTCTGTCTAAAAGCCCAGTGGTGACGGAACTGATTCCCTAGTTAGGGCGCTTGCCGGCGGTTCACGTGGTAGTGAAGCAACTGGAAAATCTGTCTAGGAGCAACGGTGGCTCGGTGGGTAGGTCTTTGACTCAATATATTTTATTAATCAACAAACTATAAATAGATACAGTAGCATTTCAATGGTATCTTGTGTAATTAGTTCAAAAAACTAAACATAATTACAGTAGTATTTTAATTAGGACAATTCAACCAACTTAAATTACTAGTTAAACAATTTATATCACTATTGTCAGATTTCCCAGAATTTGTCACACTCTTAATATTGTTTTCATCGGATGTTACGTTATTTGCTACTCTTTTGCGCATATTTCTGCTGGAACAGACTTCGCCGTCTTTGATATCCTCCGGTGTTAATTCTATATTTGGTGGTACGAAGTCAGCTGACCACATATCATCGCTCATTGACCAATGAGATGACTGGTTTTCATCTGGCGATTTAACGTGTTTGGTGTTCGGTCGTTTGGTTCTTTCAACTTTAGGAACAAAATTTCCGGAAAACTCTGTCAAAATTAAAACAATATCAATACTTTAGTAAACAATAAAAAAATAGACATTATTCAAGCAATTATAGGTCATTCCAAATGCGTACGATATTATTTTATGCAATACAGCAGTGAATTATAAATTCAATATTTCTGAACACGAGACAAAATGTAAACGTTTCCTATATCTGTGTACGCGGGACATAGACAGTTTAGGGGGGTTGGATGGCTGAATGGTTAGCGTGCGCGCGCTCTATCATTAAGTCAACTGGCGTGGTTTCGAATCCTCGGTTGTATGTGACAAGGAGTAGGGTCGCCTGTCCAACCTCGTGGGTTTTCTCCTGGTCCTCCGGTGTCCTCACACTGCTAAAGACCCCTATGCGCAAGAGAATTATTGAAATAAAATTAAACCATATGTTAGTCCCGAAATGACCTAGTTTGTTTCGAGTGGACGTTAAACCCCATCTCTCTCTCTCATAGACATTTTGAATGTTTCTTTCCCGAGAACAATTATCCGCTTATTAATGCGAGACAAATTTTGTAAATCACCGTATATTGGACCGAAGCTAGTATTTTTTAGAAATTCTCCCGCTCTCTCTTTCCACCATTTTGCATGTCATTATGTGTTAACGTTTTGGGTCTAGAATTGAAGAGGGGTGTTTGAATATATATTCTGTCAGGTTTTGGCAATTATTCATGATTTTGAGGCGGAAGGACACGGATTTGAGTAGTCACGCACAAAAATGACGTCACTGTTTACATTCCTATTGTATGGTCAAACGAAATCAGATGATTGAGACATATTGGTGTATTTTTTTCTCAGAATGTCCATAAATGTTGTAGGCAAAGACATGGCATGTATTTAACTCTGAACGAGGGGGGGGGGGGGTGAGTGGCTTACTGTTAGATACCAATGTAGTTGTCTCCCTTGTACATGTCACTTCAGTATCAGTCAAGAGTAGAGTGTCCCATGCTGCCACAATTTTCCCTACTGAATGTGCACGCTTCAGTGGCTTGTCTCGAAGTGATTTTCGGCTAGTCACGCGATGCGATAACAATCAGCACAAGAGTCTTTGAGTCTATAAATAGCCAACCCACTTGAAAATCTCTCCACATTTATCGACTATTACAGCCGTAAATAAAATCTATTGTTGATGATTCTTAATAGCAGTAATATTTAGCTTATTAGTTATTACAGCAGCTTTAGAAATTAAGTTCGTTTTATATTTTAAATTGCTTTATCATTAACTGTACCATTAGGAGCGGCATCATTCGGTTTAGCACAAATAATATCTCTGAAACACACGGGTTATGCAAGAACATTATACTAGCTGTAGTTTCATTTTACTTTTACAAGGTTCTTAAATCAAATGCTGAGTTGCCTAACATGCGTGTTTCTAAATTCAATTTCTTGTTCCAGCTTTCTGTCATGTTTCGTTAAAATATAGTCTTGATTATCCCGGCCTGTGAATCAGACGGAGAATGGTGCGAGACTAATTTCAAAACAAGGGCACGTAACCGAGAGAGAGTACTCCACGTGTCTGAATGATAGATCTTATTAAAGCACACGTGCGTTTTATATGATATGTGTTCTTACCTCTGTTTACAATAGGAGCTGGCGAACTTCCATGCTTAAATCCGGGTACTCGGCTTTCCCTTTCATCTCCATTATCATCTGACCATATCGAGGTAGCCTCGATCTTTTTCTCACCAGCACGTTGATTTTGGAACCAGACTTGAACGGTTTTTACATCGAGGCTCGTATCTTTACAGATTTTATCCATCGTCTGTCGTGATGGTCGTTTGTATCGTTTGTAAACTTTAAGTAATATTTCTGTCTGCTCGGAGGAGATGAAAACTCGCACTCTTTTAGGCGACGGCTGATCGGACCCACTGTCACTTTCATCTGGAAATTAAAAAGATTCATCCATATCAAAATGTTTTATTCACCCGAGAAAGTGACACAGAAGACAGTTGGCTACAAAAACGTCCCAAACGAATGACAAGTGGTATCAAATTTTCTAGACACAATAATCATACCTTGTCGAGTCGTGTAGTCATTTAGGGACTGTGAGCCAGGGTGACTAAGTGGGTAGGACGTTGGCTCGCTAGTCTGGAGGTCGCGTGTTCGATCGCTGCATTGGCCGAAAAAGTTAATTGGAATTTTCCGACGTGGTTTCCCCTTGTCATTGGTGCAGGACGGACGGAGTGTCTGACAAGGACAGCTGTCTAATCTTCGGGTGAGACGAAAAACCAAGGTCTCGTGTATACATTGGATTCAGTATAAGAGTAGGCCATAGTGCTGCTGTGCGGGGAAAATTTCCCTCATAGTACACTGTATCTAAACCCCATTTCATTCATTTCATTTCATTTAGGGACTAACAGTAATTGATAAATCCTAAATCAGCAATTGTTATTATGTGCGTTTTACAAAGACATATTATAGAGCAAGACAATATTACATTTATATGATAAAACGATATAACAAAGAGCATACACTGTACTTCATAAAATATATAAATAACAAAAATTATTTAGATAAAATTACATTTAATTAGACATTAAAATAGCTTTGGATAATCAACATATTTGTGCTTAGCGTTCCACTTGTCTGTGACGTGCATGTGTGCATGAGATGGTTGTGGCAATAACATGTAGTCAAATTTCAAGACATTTATAAACTTTGATTGTTCATACCTTTATCTTTAGCAAGGTCGTAATCATGACGACATATCAACTTCCCATCATCTCTCAGGTAAAATTCATCACCTGTTTTGAGCTCTACGTCACATCCTACGCACGTGAAGCAAGCTGGGTGATACACGTTCTCGTGTGCACGTCTGACTTGTTCTGATGGGGCGATCGGTAAATTACATCCTATACATCTGGCTCCAAACAATCTAAAAAAAAAAAAAAAAATTTTAATATCAATACGAATGAATTATTGAAATAATATTGAACCATATGTTAGTCCCGAAATGACATCGATTGTGTAGAGTGGCCGTTACCCACACTGATCCGCAGTGAATATTTGCTAGGCCGCGACAATCACTGATAAGGATGACATCGATGCGGCTTAATGAGCCAGTAATATTAACTTTTTCCTGAGACAAATTAAATTCTAAAACATTTTCTGTCGGTATTGGAAAAATAAATAAAGGCGTTTGACGTATTTGTAGGTAAAAATTATTTCCTATTTAGTGTAAATGGGTATTAAAATGACTAAAATGCAGCATTCTCTCCGAAACAGTAACGTCTTATGTAAACAATGCACGCGCCATTCAGCCAATGATTGACGCCGCGTGCTGTGACGGTACGTGTTAAGGCAGTCATCTTTGACAGAGATATATTACTAGACTCGTAATTCTCTGAGAAACAGATTGGCCGTTTTCCTCTCTCTCTCTCCACCTAGTTTGTGTCGAGTGGACTTGGACTTAAACCCCATCTCTCTCTCTCTCTCTCTCTCTCTCTCTCTCTTAAGATCATTTATTATTATAGCAATAAGACTATTATTTATTTTGCCGTTAAATTTTTTAATCTAACGAGTGTTCTGATCCAATTTAATCTCGGTCATCCCCGATTATCTAGAGAGTTGATTTCAGGCTAGGTATTTGAATAAATGTCTGACAATTATATAGTTTCTATAAGATTGGATGTTAAAATAAAGACCTCCATAGGCCGATTTATCTCTTTGAATTTGTGCAATTTATAAACATTGTGTTATTCTGAATTTTTATATGGCTCTATTTCCAAAACTGGTACCCAAGGGCCCTTTAGAATTAAGATAAATCACAAATGTTTATATTAAAAGTGAAATATATATAAACTCTGGCAACTCTGTTAAAAAATCGGATACAGTTATAGAATGACAGTTGTATAATGGGATTTTATAACAACTTAAATGAATAAACACACAATGGTTTGATAAAATTGAAAATACATTGAACTGATGAGTTATTTCAACTAGACCTCATAATGGAGTAAGCTCCGCCTCGACAGACTGTTTACAATTTGAACGTTCAGCAAGTCTTCATATGGCAGTGTATGGAGCTTTTTTTTATAACGAAGTACTTTGTTAGACATGTAAACTGCTTAAAAGAGAAATTAGGTTTTCTATCTTAAACAAAGTAATTAAAAATATTCTTCAAGTTCGAAGCTTTGTAAATTACGTTTCCACTCAAAACTTTCAATGTAATTTGTTTTAATAAATTACCTAAAGAAATCGTCTGGACAGAAAACCTGGGAGCCTCGAACAAAGCAATTACCGGAGAGAACCGAATGACATGCGCCACATCTTAAGCAATCGGCATGCCACAGACGACCTTGAACTCTGAGTATAAACTGATCTAAGATCACTTGACCACATCCCGTGCATGGTGGGGGTCCTGAAATAAAATAATTATCAGTTAATTAATGGGAATTAAATTATTTGAAATAACCAATCAGCTTAAATACATTGGAATATCGTTAAAGTCGAAAATAGATTAGTATGAATGGATAATAATTGACAAAATGAATGAATTTCCTCGCAATAAAAAGTAAAAACGAATATATATACATGTATTTCAATAATACACTTGCGAGTAGGGGTCTTTAGCAGCGGCAGTGGAAGACCCGGAGAAAACTCACGAGGTCAGGCAGATATTCCACACTTATGGTACAAATTGGGTTCGAAACCACGCCACTTGAGTCAATGAGAGACATTATGATCTAATGCACACGATCGATCCCAGCTAATGATAAATACTCTATTTAATATACTGATTAGTACATACCGTTATAATCCATTTGTCCTCCAAGAAATCCAGACTCGCCAGGTAATGAGGAGGATGTGGGCAAGGCGGCAGCACTGGTAACTCTAGGATCTGCGTAGTCCGCTTCATGTATCATGATCATTTTTCTATCGCGACATCGACGTCTGTGTCCGGATTTGTTTTAAATCTTGTTGTTTTGATCACCTTTTGAAAACATGCAAAATTAAATGGCAGCCTTTTAGGAAACCCCGAACAGTGTTGCGATGCTATAACCAAGAGCTGGGAGTCAAAATAAATGGTTCTAAATGCACAATTCACAGCACCAACTAATTCACACGATTCGTGTTATTAATTTAAATCCAGAAAAACACAAGAACTCTGAAGATATTCCTTCAGTAATATAAGCAATGAAAGTTATTTCTGTGTCCGCCTGTAGGTACTAGAATCCACTTCCACACTAGTAAAACGAAACACCTTTTTGAAACAACAAAAACACCTGATAAATATTAAAATTGCTCTCGATAACAAGTCTTGTCGTTTTCTCGTCATGTGAACTATAAGACTAATGGTGTTTAAGACACCGAGAGGTCTATATATCCCGCTCTTGGTTTCTCATAGACTCGTTAATTGGTGACTTCAAGGAGTAAAATCTCAGACGTTCGACCATCATATAAGAGTTTCATTGAGAACCAGACAAGATACTTTACTCAGCCAATTAAATTACTTTAGCCAACATATTGACCAATGAAATCTCTTGTCGTCAGTACGCGCTTAATACTCTTACGTCATGAAATATGTCTGAAATTTCTCATGTGTTAAACCGCGGGATTATCTATTAGCCTTGATTAACCACGTCTCAAGATGTTCTTATTGCTGAACAATGAATTGTTATGATACTTGATGATAGGGGCTTTGTTGTCGAAGAAGAAGTTGTTCGGTGGATTTGGGTCGCAAATTGCAATTAATCTGTCTGATTGCAATTAAGGTCCAAATGAGACGGATCATAAACCCCACTAGAATTTCTTGTCATAAAAATCATTGGCTATAGAAGAATGTGCTAATGTCTTATGAATATTTTATACGATCGTTAATTATTTGTTTTAATGAAACGGAGATTTGGTAAAAACGTACTGTGATCTTGAGACATATTAATTGCTGTTAAGAACAAAATTCTGTCTCAATTTGCGCACTCATTTAAATCTGTCTAAATTTGAGTTCTAATTAAAATGCGCTTGAATTTTGAAATTAGATTATAAATGAAATTAAGAATATAGTGTGATTATAAATGAAATCAATAATATAATTTGATTATAAATGAAATTAAGAAAATATTTTGTTTATTATTGATGTAGTGAATCATAATATGACAGTTGAAACAATATTTTTTTTTGAACACATTGTATTCTAAATGTTTGATACTCAATTCAAACATACAATAAATTCCAAAACTTGAAAGCAGTTTTGCATTAGAACTGATTTTACTTGAAGTAAGCTAAATATTTGATACTCAATTAATATATATATAAACAGTGATTTTACATAAGTATTCCACTTATATTTTTAATTTGTAGACTTAAAAAGAGATACAGGCATTTCAATCACTGATTAATGCTTACTATTTGAAAATTTGAAAAAATGTTTACTATTAATGAAGAGTTGAATAATGTTTATAATGAAAGAAATGTTGTTTAACGGCACGCTCCAACCGGGTTATATTGCGACGAATAGTGTTTATATAATTTGAATAATGAATTTTATTTGGAGATTTGAATAATCTAAAGATTTGAACAATACAGAGATTTCAATAATGTGTATTATTTGCTCACCGACGACACAAACAATACTGAGGTGTTTATGTTTATTGGATATGAATTTTTGGCCAGATCATCAGCAAACCTTTATTTAATGACTAACGGTTAGGCCCCTTTCTTTACCGATTGTGCTTCTTCTATCCATCCCTACAGAGAGAGAGAGAGAAAGAGAGAAATGGGGTTTAACGTCCACTCGACACAAACTAGGTCATTTCGGGGCTAACACGTGGTTCAATTTTATTTCAATAATTCGCTTGCGCGTAGGGGTCTTTAGCAGTGTGGGAGGAAACCGGGGGACCAGGAAAAAAACCACGAGGTTGGACAGGCGACCCTACTCCTTGACTCAATAACAAGCCTCATGGTACAGCGCGCACGTGCTAACCATTCGACCATCCACCCCACTTCCCTACATGCAGTGTATAACTTAAAGAAATAGATTACTGTACAATTGTACATCCTGTGTTGTTACCAAAATCTTAAAAATTAAAATCAAAATTATTGTGTGTCGGAGATGAGCTGGGGGGAAACACATGGTATAAATTTTCATGTCGGATTTGTTTTACCATTTACAAATTCTTTCAAGAAAACGGATATTATCAATTAAAAACATACTCGATTCGAACACAGCACATCATTCACTACAGGCATTTAAATTGCATTCTATATTTTTAATTATATTCGCCCCATGTAAATTTGCCCATTCTGTTCGATTTATTATTGTATTTTCATCAGTTGTCTTTTGTGTATTTTTTCATCACCATCAGTTGTTTTTTGTGTATTTTTTCGTCAGTAATATTCTGCTATTTTTTCATCAGTTGTCTTTTGTGCATGTTTTCATCACTAATATTCTGCTATATTTTTGCTAACTATGGTGTTTTGTCGGCAAATTAGATTTTAAAACAGCACTACAATATCTTATTAACGCCAGATGATTGGTTTAGCTTTTCAGCAAAATAATCCCGAGTTAAATTTCCGGATTGTTCTCCTTCAAGTTCTACATTAGTGATTTTTTATTTTTGTTACAATGTTCCTTTTATTCTTGTTACAATGTTCCTTTTATTCTTGTTACAATGTTCCTTTTATTTTTGTTGCGATGTTCATTTTATTTTTATCAACGCTCCGTTAGTTTTTAACAATGTTTATTTAATTTTTAACAATGCGCCTTTTATTTTTACTAATTCCATTAAAGATACATTATGGGAGATTCGATAACGAGTTGGCAGTTCTCACTATAATAGTTACAAAATAGATAATGTAAAGGGTATTTGCTGAAAATTTCATTCAAATTGATCCACTATGAACCGAGAACTAAGAGGTTGAAATTTCCGGTTAGCC